AATACGTATATTTCACACAATTCATTGATCCAGACAGACGATCAGAGAAATGAAGCAAAGCGAGAGAAAAACGAAACAACCCGCAGTGGAGAAGGTAAGTGAGTTAACTCAATTTATAATCAAGCGTGACTGAATATTTATATTCAAACAAAAATAAATCACCGACACGGAATTAATGGGGCAAGCAATTAACACACACACGATCATATGAAAAGTCAAGATTTATAAGCGAATAATCGGCAAGGTCAAAATGTGGCTTGACAAGAATGAATAAATTGGTTTGTTCAGAAGCTAGAATAGCCTATGTGGGCTTGACATAGTATCAGACACTACAAGAGCGTAAGATTGAACTGAGACAAGTCTGACTTGAAATAAAATTTTTAACTACTTTTTGTTACAAATTCACAATCTAGATAACTTTGAATGAGAATTAACGTAATCTTACCATCAACGAAAGATTTTCCATAAACCCATCATGAATTTGTTTAAATGCGCTTTTGGAATTTGATAATTGCGACATTAAATCACAAACAATAGGTTCTCCTGAATGCCACATATTGAGTAATCGTATAATTTTCTTTCGGTATGAATAATTCACATGACTATCATTTACCGGTGATAAGAGATTTTGCAAGACAATATCAACCTTTAGTAGAAAAAGCAAATATGTAGATATCAGTCATGTATTACATTTTATAAGTAAATAGGGCAGTTTTACATCCATTACAGCCTAATCAAGTTGATAGTGTTTAAAAATAATCTAAACGTAATTTCAATTAAGAACGAGAAATGAATGTAATGGTATGTTAGATTAAAGTGCTTTCATTTTCTAGTAAAACATAAACACAAAGCCAACAACAGGAAAATGTATTAAACTGAATTGGTTACAAATGTTGTGCAGATCTAATGAGATTTCAACAATTGTATAAACCGAAAGTGGAGTAATTGAATATACCTGTATAGATCAAGACGAGAGTAAGTTGATTTGTGGATTGATCTTAAGTTTTCATTGGACTCTTTTTGATACTATTTTTTCGTTGAACTTCAATTCCAACTGATATTAAAAATAAACAACGATTAGGTATATATAACAAAGGTTTTAGTCAGGCTAATTAATTCAATTCATCAGCATTACTAACTTAATTAAGCTCGTTTACACAGAACCTCACACCAAACTTAAACACTACCCACTCAGTACAAGCCAGCAGTGTCTTGAAAGTACTCATTATTAAATAGAAAATAAAATGTCAGATTGTTAGAAAATTCAAATTTCTAGATAAACGATATCTTCCCATGAGAAGTGTTTGATTCTGCACCAAATATATTGAGAAATTATTTCAATAAAACAGATATCTATAGTCAATTATACTACAGCATGGATACATTATTATTAGATGGATGAAGGGTGATGATACAGACTGATTAATCAAAGTTTGATAGATGAAAGTGTAGAAACTTGTGATTTAATACTTGAAAGAGTTTAAGGAAATAAAACAGAGATTTATATGTTTTTATTAATTACTAAACTGATACTGTTTTTTAAAACAAGGATAATTTATAATAAAAAAAACTTAGAACAACACATGTAAGCACTGCAATGGGAATCTTTAATAATAAAAGAAACCTATAATTTTAAACAGAGAAAGATCCCTAATTCACTGTAATAACTGATACAAACGTACATTGTTTGAATTCAATTGTGACTGAATATACGATATCATAATGAACTGATGAACAAGTTCTAAATTTATACTTGTCCAATTGGAATCAATATAAAAATTAGGTAAAAATATTTTGGATGAAATATCATTATTGTCATTGTTAGGAGATTTTGTATGACAATTTCTCAATAGAATATTCATTATATTTAATTCTTTTGAATAGATTAATTGATACCATAAGAGACAGAGTAATGGTTCATATTTTCCAAGTGAATAAATTGTTTTATGAATAACCTATAAATAAAATAAGAAACAATGATAAACTGACGATAATTTTGACTGTATATGATAATAATAGTATTACATAATTAACTAATGAAATTAGATAATTTTACTGATTTGAAAAATATAAATTGAAAACAAACATTTTTCATATTCTAGTTGGTAATTAATTGAATATTAATCCAATAAACTCCATTAATATAACCTTCTATGATGAATGCTCAAATATTATTGATTACTAAATTAAAATTAAGTATAAGTCTGAAATTCTATTACCGATTACCATTAATGTTTAATTAAGAGTATAAAGAAGGCATTTGAATACAACTGACAAATGTTTATAAGAATAAATAGATTTAGTTTATAAATTAACTGAAGAATTATTAGTTGATTGAGTGGCAATTGATTTTTCACACTAAGACCATAGTAACTTTATAAACTATTTATTTACTGCAAAATTTAATAACATAACAATATTGGTTTTAAGTAATAAAAAAAGTTAGTATAATTTCATTTTTATAGGCAAAATAGAACCATGCGAAATAATATATCAATGATATCATAGTAAACATTTCTTATCTTCCAGTAGTTTTGAACAAAGAGAGGATACGATTATGAAAATTGATAACTGGTTTGAATTGGTATAAGATAAAAAAAAATCATGTAACGATCAAATGAGTCCTCTTATTTACTTATTCACATGAATAATTATGAATATTTATCTATGTACAATTTTTAAATGTGTGAATTGTGTGTTTGTTTCTAATACTCATTAGAAAATAGTATTGTATACACTGACAAGACAGTTCATACAACGATTACTTTTTACACCAATCCACAAAACTCACGACTGTCACATTAATCTATACAAGACATAGCTCAACACTCACGTACACAAACACAATCCGTACACCCTTTGAGACTTCTACACCTGATCTGATGAATTAAGTGTGTCGGAAATATAACTATTTGCGATGTGTTTCGTTTCGCACTTTTAATATTGTCCTGTCAGGTGAAATTGATTATACTACGCAATTAGTCTAAAAAGTAAACGAGATTAACAGGGTTCTACAACCATTGAAGTTAGATTGCTCGATAGAAAAACGTACATATACACACGACGAAAGTGGTGAACCTTTATTCATCCCAATAATCTCTAGCGCTTCAACAACGATAATAAACGGATGAAATAGCAAATAAATTACAGTAGTTTATTAAATAACTGTATATTGAATATATTTAATTAGATTTTGTACTTAAGTCTGTTTATACAGTCAGCAAACGCGAAATCACATATACGGTTAATAATGCCAGACATATTTGATAAACAGAATATATAGAGTTGACTTAGTAAATAGGCATAAAAACACTCCACAAAATTAACTTCTAGGAAATAGAGTCGACCAAAGAAGACGGAGTAGAAATCAAAGCAGTTATTGGAAAACACCAATTCAATTTTAAATGAGTGAATTAAATCTTCATACCTGGATTAATGAGGTTATCTGCTTAATGTTCCATTCAATATTGATGTAAAAGTCTAAAATCGTAAACAGAAAAAAATCACTGTGATACTAACATAGTGCTTTTAAATATTTTCATGTATTTCATATTTAGCTGAGAATGTCATCATATAAGTTGAATACAAAAGTCCTGAAAACTTTGTTATTAGGAAGTACACAGGCTCCAAGGCATATTAATGCTCCTTTGTCTTTTCATGAAGTTTACTACCATGTTATGATAGTGACAAAAGTTTCAGCACAGATTTTGCAAAAAAAATAGTGATGTTGGGAATATAGTCGACTTAAGAAATAAAATGTCATCCGGACAACTTATTAAGTAATTTATGACAGTTTGCAAATTTGCATCTGAATTTACGATTCATGTAAAACTCGATGTTTCATAAAAGTCGTGTTTTTATTTTCGAAGTTACATTTTACAGTATATTTTCGGATGCATTTGTAGTCATTTCGATAGGATTTTATGTAACTAGTTCAGAAATAAAGTGTAAATTAAAGAAAAGAAGAATCCAAAAAATTACACAAACAACAACAGTTTTAGAATAATATGTCACTCAGTAAGCCATAATTGTTTACCTACCTGATTTCACCAGTTCTATAAGATTCAGTAAATGATTCAACGATAAATGAATCAAAAGAATCAGATTAGTAGATTTTAGTGAATAATCAAATTCTAAAGTAGTTATTTGACCAATTATCATTGGTTCATAAAGTATAAAAAATTTTATACCATCAATAATTTGTTGAAATGCAAGCAGTGAATGTCTGAAATAAAGAAGAGAAATTATGCGTTTTGTTTCTTAACGGTATGTTATTTCCATATTAATCACTTATAAAATGTTTACCATAATAATAATAAATTTAATCATTACTCCATATTATTTTCTGAAAGTTCACTTGTCATATGGAAACCATTTACTATCGCTCAAGAAGTTATCTTGCCGTGCTAATGCGGTATGGCAACTTGGACCAATGCATATATGTGCCTGGTGCTACGTAGTTTGACACATTCACAAAAAAACAGAAGATGGGGTATTTACTACTGATTAAAAGTAAGAATTCCCGAACGAATATCAATGCTATTGCAGCATATGTAAATAAATAAGATATAGTATCATATTATGTATGAGAGGATGTAAAATTCGATTTTCAGTAGATTAATTTGAAGAATAATGGTTATATTGACTATAAAATTTCTCCGGATAAAGAAAAAACAAGTTTAAAACGTGGTGTATCTACAAATACATTTGTAATTATTTAATGGATAATAATCTACCAAATATTGGAAGTAAATCAATGATATATACAATACACTGCCCGTAGTGATATATATATATATATATATATATATATATATATATATATATAACTAGGCGATAGCAAATTAGGACAAACAGATCTGTCAGACAACATTCATGAAATCAAGAATGTTAACGTTGTATGTTATACACAGCGGAATCACTTTAAAACAACTCGTATTAATCAGCTGTGTTGTATAGGCACATCAAAGTATTGGATAGTTATTTAACTCTTTTTTTTTCAGAAGAAATTATTCCTAAAAAAGTGCTAGTAATTCTGCTGTTAATCTTAAAATATTGTTACAGAATCACGATTTAAACGAGTAATTAGTATTCATTTTAAATAAATAGAGTTTGAGTAGTTTGTTTGCAATACACATAAAAAAAATCGTAATGTTCAAATAATTAGAAAAAACGAACGCAACGCTTTGTAACCTTTATTAGAACATCTTATCAGACAGTAGTTTTTGTCTGAGACTGATTATTGACTTTAAAGAAAGGACCTATATTTCGTTAAATAATATCAACAAATAATTAATGTGTTTGATGTAATTGATATGGAGAAACAACCAAATGGTTTCATTCACAATCAATAAACGCGATTCTGTGTCATGATAAGTTAGTCAAAGAAATAGTTCTACTGATGAACAGATGATATTTTTTTCTAATAGTTACTCATACTTAAGTTCTTTAGAAATTTATAATTCTTGATGATTTGTCCAAAAAGTCACTTGAATGATTTAAGTTGTTGCTGAAAGCGATTGATAATGAATTCTATCTACAACGAAACACCATTACCCGGCTTCCTGAATCTAAGCATATCATTTAAAATTATTGTTAGCATGCAATGAAAATTAAATCCAAGTAGTGAACATAAAATTTCTTATTCCAAAACGATTGTAACACTCGTTGAACTATTATACCCTAAAAAAATTAAAATATTTTTGAAGATAATTTTCATTATCGTTTACAAAACAACAAACAAATCAACGGTATTTACTCAAAAAGTCTTGTTATTTGTTTAGAGATGTCAAAATCTATTGGCTGATGTAATTTTCTGGAACAATTAAATAGATGGAAGAGGAAACGACCACAGAAAACTTGTGTCACAGTCCAACGAATAAAATGCAAAATATTATAATTGTCTAAAAGGATCTAAAATCAAAAGAGATAAAAAGTGAATAGAAATAGAAATTTTATATTCAAACTTTCATTGTGGAATGTCAGAGAAGTGACTGAATAACGCAAAAAAAATTATTCTCTTTATACTAAAATATTAATTTTTAAGTTATCTTAGTGAATCGTTCAGCCTAATTGTCTCAGCACATTCCTAGAAAATTCAGTCAACAATCTAGTCGTCTCGGTTCATTGGTAATTTGTTGATCATACTCATGTATATAAAAAAAGGACGGAATGCATCTACATGATTAATTTAACTTGATTTCTATGTTACAGTACTGATTTAAAAACTAGTATTTGATATAATTTTCGTATAAATCGTACTTATTCAAAAGTATATCGTATAACCTCAGACAGTTTCTACACATCAACTTGAACGGTGGAGAAAAAGAGCAAAATTAGAGTAAGGACTTTAATCCAAAGTTAGTTACGCACATAAAATCTAGTGAATTGATAGAATTTCATGTGAGCTTGATCTTCTAGAACCTTTTAAAATAACGCACAAAATATAGTGATAACATAGGTGATTCTCCATACAAGATGTGATGCGTTATCCTACATTTCTCAAAATGTTTCTGAGAAGAATATATTCAGTGCTGCAATGATAAAAAAATTCCTGCAGTTCTTTGGGCTACTAAAGAATTTTGACAACAAATATTTTTGGACTCCCTAAAAAAGCGAGGACGAAAACACTCCATCTATAATTTGTGATATAAAAATTAATAAGATGAAGGAAATTTGTAACTTTTTACACTGTAGCCAATATTTCACTGCGAAAACCTGCGAAAGTAATTTCCTACATAGTTTCGAACAGCAACTAGAGGATAGGAAAAAATCAGTCAGAAAAGCGAATATTGTTTTGTAATGAATATAAAATGGTGATTGGTGAAAAAAACAAGACATAGTCATACATGGTCAAAGAAGGTCAATGTGGTGGTGGGCGTTTCACTTTATCCTTGGAGGGTTCATTTATCGATCACACTTTACACTCCCCCTAAACGCACACCACGTTCATCGTCCTGGGTCGTCACCGCCGTCAGATAGCCGGCTTCTTCCAGTAGGCATAAGCTTCGTACGTCGTGAACGGTTTCTTCGTTTGCCGTTCTCAACTTTGCAAAGCTTCATCGGTCAGCACGTTTTGAAATAAAAGCGCTCTTAGAATTCTTCTAATTGATCTTATGATACATACCCTAGGTGGGTTGAAACGCCATTCACATCCTAGTTCTTTGAGGTGGTTCTCTACTTTGTTTTGATCACAAGAGCATATAATCTGTATCAAACTAGCATCTCCACCTCGGAAATTTGAACCGTTATCGCTAAAAATACGCCTCGGGCATACTCTTCTGGAAATAAATCTTGGTGCTAGATCTATCAAAGTGTCCAAGTCACACAATTGAGACATGCGCAAAACAACTATCTGTCTAGAATAGCGGTTCTTCATTGAATAATGCACAAAAATTAGTTACAAACCTCAACTTGTGAAGTGTCTGTGGCGTTTAACGCGTCCTTTTGTATGAAGCAAAAAAAGATTCCTGTAATGTTAACATAAAGAATAGTTACAACGTCCGATAGTACAGAAGACAGATGATAGCTGTGTCTAAAATTGGTAATAGTTTATCAACAACCGAAAGCCGAACAAAGAGTAAAGAAATATGGAAATTGTTGCGTTTAAACAAATTGACAAAACTTTAGATAACTGCTACAGTGACTAAAGTAAAGTAATTATAATGATAAATACGTTATAAGAATATGTAAATATTTCAGAATATTACACGACCACATGGTGGTCATTCGCCACCCTTTAGTCAGGTAGGTGTAGATTACTTCGGATCATTCCATACCAAACGGGGGACCGTTGTTGAGGAGCGTTACGCCTGTTTGTTCACCTGCTTATATATTAGAGCTGTTCACATTGAAATGGCTTACTCTTTAGACACAGATTCATTTTTATGCATATTATTAAGTGCTAAGTTTCTTGTTCTTTTTTGTATTGTTTTATACTACTTATTTATATTCAGTAAATAGTTATATTCCCAGCAATTTTTTAACTTATGTAACGCAAGTTGTGTATTATCTGTCGTATTTTATTTCGAGAATACAAAAATATTATATTCCTTTGCTGAAATAGTTAGAATTTAGTATAATGAAGTTATGAGGCTGAGAATAAATTACCTGTAAGTTGGGGGAAATTGTTAAATAGGTCAAAGATTTGTGTCTTATTTCGAAATATATTTCATTTTAATAATGGTGGTGAAGTATGTAAATAAAATAATGGTTATTTTATGAAACCTTCATTCATATCCAAAATCTCGGTTAAATGATGAAGTCCGACCGAGGCGTTCATATATTACATTGCATTATTTGGTTGGCATGGTCTTAGAACAAACATTTTAATTTTTACGATAGAAATAATACCATACCGTAGGTATTTTAATAGTACATTTATTAATGGGATAGATAACGTCTAAAAAAGTCCTCCTCTTTGTAATTATGACATATTTTGGTATGATAACGAAAGTATTGCATGCAATCTAAAAAAGGGATTACACTCACCTTAGAATTGAATTCATTGTAAAGAACTTCTTCAACTTTTAAAATGATGTTCCAAACAACTTGAGATGAATCATTTTCGTCCAAAGAATTTATGATAACAACTAGATGATTCAGAAGACGTTGAAGTGCATCGAAGGCAGCACGGTTATCAATTTGAGCTATACCAGTGGCCAGATGAGAAAGGATATGATTCGAAATCTATAAACGTGATTTAAATGGAGGTGAGATTGAAATTTTTTGTTTACCAATTTCATAGAAACTAAGGTATAAATGTATATGTATATTATGGGAAAGTAAAGTGTTACTTCGCCTTGTTTTAAATTCGTTCTAACATTAGTGTTGTGTTCTCGTGCTTTGTTAACTATCACGTGGCTAAATCACCAATCAGAACAACAACTTGTACTACCTTGGCCCTGTGCCAAACCAATAATGCGTTAAATAGTACGACCAGCATAGAGTTATTTCCTTACTAGCTCTACTCACCTAGCCCTGTTAGTTGAGTTCAGAACACAATCTCAGCTTCTACTGTATGAATCATGTATTTCAAGCATACTCAGTTTATATACAAGCAAATCAAACCGCATCACACCAAAAAATAAAAATTATACAAGGCCAAACCAAAAGTGTGTGAGAGAGGTTGTAACTAACATATTGGAGACAAATTAAAAAAAGCAAATCGTATTATACTAGTCAAGAGGTCAAAAAGTTCCCGGAAGTTACCCATAGTTTAATCTTCTTCGGATATAACATGGGAACATTAATTCTGTTAAAACAACTTTGGACAAACTAACTGATTTCGTGATTTATCACGACATAATCTTCTTAGCTTTTGGCTTTTATTTTCCAAAGTAATACAACAATATTGATACAAATTTCTCATCTTTTTGTTTTGTTCGTCAGAATCTTTCATATGTTCTAAACACTATTTGGTTAAAAATTCGTAACTTTACTAAAATAAAATATAAATTCCCAAAAAATACTTAATGTGAAATTTCTTGTGTAAAGTAGTGTTCCAATAAATAACCTAATGCATTTACATAAAGTTGCCGTGTGAAGAGGGTACAAGTGATTGTAGTAAAGCTTCAAAGTCATGAGTCTTTTATTAACAGTGATTATGATACATATAGCAACTAAGTCCTGTTATATTGTTTAATTTAAACAAGTCGATCTCAACAGATAGAAAATAACGTATTTTTCCTTGGTAAATAAATATTTCAACATTTTGTTTTTTTCCAATCACTCGTAAAATTTTTTAGAAAAATGATACTTTTTTAATCTCAAGTAATTGAGTTAGGCAGGTGCGTTTGACATATTTATTCGTATTAATAATGTATATTGAATCTTGATTAACAGAATTCGAATTACCACCTATCTGGCGGTGGAGTAGGAACTAATTAATACATTTATTTGAAGTAAAAAACTTAAAAAGGTTTAGATTTGATGTTATTCTTACATAACACTGAATAAGACTATACAATACCTGTGTTAAACAATCAATGATGCAGATGACATTCTCACTTTTGCATATTTTTGTGGATATATTCACCTCTTCAAGTATCAATGATATTTGATCATAACTAGCTGGTAAATGACTAAGTCGACGTAAAAGTAAACTAAAAATGGTTTCACGTTGAGCATTCGCTTGCCTATCAAAAAAAATTAATATAGAAAAAAAGATTAATTAAATATATACACGGATTCTAGAATTTGGTCTACAAACTGTCATATGACAAGAAAAACGTTGAGAAAGTCTTAAATTTTTAGTTGTGAAAAACGCTGGCAAAGAATATTATTGACACAATATTTGTGAACATTTAATTCTTAACGGACCCATCATAGATGAACATTCAACTGGACTAAATATCTTAAATATAAAGTTCGAAAAAGCTGTTTCGATTATCTATATAATCTAGCAGATAGTCAATATAATGCAAAACTTACTGAATTTGATTCATTTTGGCTTGATCAACATTTTCTGCTTGTTTATTAATTCTTTGATTTAATGGTTGTTGAATTACAAATAAATCAACGATCACTGGAATCATCGCAGTTAATACAATACTGCCAGGATCACAAGTTTCTGCTGCTAATGCTTCAGCTAAATGAACAACCTGAAACATATACACAAAGTGATATTAAACGGGGGAATTATTACTTCATCAACTTAGTGGGACAATTACAGGCCTGACACAATAGTAGATCATTATGATTCATTACATAGTAAACCAGAAACGAATTCATATGAAGAATAAGAGTAATCAACAAGTTTTAGTTACTTATCAATTAAACTGATTAAATTTAGATGTATGTAGTGATTTACGAAGTTTATTTTATGTTTCATTAACATCTTCCCTTTCCATTTAAAATTAGTGTTTCTCAATCATCACGAATTATTGACACTACAATTTATTTTTGAACATATTATATTTTAATTTAATTTTAAAACATTACAAAGGACCTAGAGAACAGAAAATTTTACTGATTGTATTCACTTCGGTTATTGATTGGTCTCAACGGTTTGGTCTGACTTTTTAAAACAGAAAAGGATAAAATGGAATTTGTTCTGCAAAAGCAGCAGTTATCACATTCTTAGTGAAAAATCAAAATGAATTAATTCTACAATAAAGCCCTGGTTAGACAGATGATTTAATACACTATGGACGGTTTAGTGAATAAAGTTACAAGATATCTTTTATCATAACCCAAAATTTACTTCCTTAAATATGTTTACATACCAAACCCGTTGGAAAGAAACACGATTGAGCCTACCTGACTTAGTTCAACAAGACGTGAATCGATGGACTCGTCATTGCCATTGGTTGCACTACTGGTAACAGAAACAGAAGTTGCTGAGTTTTCAGAATTACCAGAATCAAGATGCTTAGATTGTGCAAGCGGTATTGATGTTAAAGATGATGATATAACACGGTACTGATAAGTCAAAGTGACCAAAAAACGGAATAAAGCGTTCACAAGACGCTGATGTTGTTGTAATATAGTCGGTTCTCTCGAACTCATCATGGGAAACAGAAATGAATCAGGATTGCAGATATCACGAAAAGTAAACGTTGATGTTGAGGATGATGATAACAATCGTTTGTTCAAATTCAACTGCTGACTCCCTTTAATACATTGACGATTTGAAGAGCTAACATTCATCATTGATATTGTCTCAAGACGTTGAATTTCCGAGGACAGATTCTCGCAATGATTAATTGTAGTATCTAGAAATTTCTTCAAAAATGTTATTGAAAACATGTGATACACAAATTAATTAGAGTAACGCAAGAATAATGTCTACGTAATATGTTTATGGTACAGATCAGAAGATAAGTTATTTGAATAATTCATAGAGGAGAGGATATCTCTAGTAAAGAACGTTAAAGAATAAAACGAAATGTCTTCAGAATATACTAGTCGTTTGTAACTGTTCTATTATGGTATTTCTAACAATTTATGATAAGTAGCAAGAAATCAGACTAATTTTTTACAAATATGTTTGCAATAAACATTAGATAATTAAAAACAACATATGAATATTCATACTTTTTAGTTTACTATTAACACGTAGTAGTTCCAATTCAAAACATCCATTGAAAAATTTCAATTAATATATCAAGTAAATACTTTTAAATGACTACAAATCATACCCGGGCGGCTTGCTTGAATATCTGGGCTACCTGTTCCTACTATCTAGATATTTCAACAAGTTATTTGTTTCCTTGTTTGTTTCAACAGATCATTACATCAATTAAATGCATAACCTATTCAGGGGCGTTTGTGAAATGTTTACAATCTTTCGTTGTACAAGTTACAAAAATTTACAATCAGAGACATCGTGATGGTTGGCAATGTGCATTGAAAAGAATGAATATAATTCAGATATTACCTTTGGAAATGCTAATATCTAACTGGAGATCATTCAATATTTATCTTCACTGTCGATTAAGAAGAAATGGAAACTCATTGAAATAATTTATGCTGAGAATTCTATATTATACAAAGCTAATAATAATAATAATTTCATAGGTGTATACATCAATTAATTTAAACTTATCAATGTTTTAACAGATATCATTTGAAAAAGGTGATTATTTACTATTAACATAATGAATTAAAAATTATAGATTAAAAGATTATACTACTATTAAATTAAAACTTTTAAATATAATCAACATTGAATTATATCTATTTGAGAATATAATTTAACATTATACCTGCTGTATATCAAGTTGACAATAATTCATTCGTAAATATATTAAATGAATTAGTAAATCTAATATATTTGTTTGAAGTGAATAACAATTTGTCCATTTATAATTTTCCATACCACAAAGTACAATATGTTCAAGACGTTTAAAAAATAATTGAGCATCAGACTAGAGAATAATAAATAAATGAAAATCTATGATGAGAATTAATTAAAATTTATTTATTTATATATAGTTGAAATTTTTCACCACATTATTTTGTATTGACATGGAATATATTAAAAATACTTTTAGTGGGGCACTTTATTTTGTCGTCATTTAGATCGGACGATGTTTGTCAACAGGCTCTCGATTTTTAGTGACCCGGGATCTGACTCCAATTAGATCATATGAATGTTTGTTGTCGAAATATATGTACTGACTATTCTCGTATAACGAGAATGGACTTTTAAATATGTATATTTCATGCACTCATTGATTTGAACATGAAATTGGGTAATGAAGCGAAACGACACACACTGAAGATGGCGGATAAGCCGACCCAATTTAGACAATCGTTAATCAATATTTATAGTCACACAAAAATAGGCTGAAGACATGTGATGAATAGGATAAGAAGTGTACACACACGCTCAAATAAAAACAGTCAAAGTTGATAAGCGAATAATTAAAAAGGTCAAAATATAACTCAAGAAAAATGAATAGGTTGGCCTGTCCGAAAGCTAGAATAAGGTGTATGAGCTTAACATAATAACCGACACTACATACTCATTGAAATTCGGATGAACCTTAGGCGATGAGGTAATAAAATTAAAAAAAGCTGTTACAAAATTATAAAAATTGTGGTATACGGTATAAATGTCATACAATATACACTATCTAGTTTCGACATCGCCCATAAGAACGTCAAATATTTTCAATCAAATACCTAATTAAATATCAGTATTGGGGTTGGGGAGATCATGAAGTTTTTTTTATTGAGATCATGAACCGATTGATGTTAGACCACCGTTGGAAACCTGAGAGCACTGGACGGCTGCTTCGTCCTGGTATGGGACGCATCCACGAACCCGCTCGCGAGATTCGGACCCAGGGCCTTCAGTCTCGCGCGCGAGCCGGCATTCAATTAATGAAATAGACGACAGGCACAATATACTGATATTTACAAGAGTAACTTTTCTCTTTCATAATAAATGATAAAAGGTAAATGATTGAGGAAAATTCCTATCTTCATGTTTAAATTTGATCACTAGTAAAATGAAGATTAAAATAGAAATCTCACTTTAATTTTTATCGCCGACATAGTTATCGTTTGATTTGGCGTCGTAGCCGACACTCTATCTGTACTACTTGTATATTTAAGACCTACTGGCGTACGACGTTGACGAGCAAAACGGATCCATGCAGAAATTGGTGACTGAATAAGCTCTGGACTTGTAATCCAACAACAAGCCTTATTTTCTTTCAATATATTTTGATTCCATAGATAATTAGTAAATGTTTTATTCTGATGCAATAATTTACGTATATGGAAATCAACAGAATCTATAATTTTAATCAAAAGTGGAAATTTGTACAGCTATGAGTGAATGAATATTATCATTAAAGGGTTAAAATACTCATACTGTTCTTTGAGATTTGTTATTATAGACACGAGTATTGTTCATATAGTTTCACGTTAAAACAACTTAAATTACTTGTACTGTGACGGAAGTCAAACATAAGCCAGGAAAGAATAAAATAACTCACAAACAAACTAAACGATGTAATTTTCACGATTTATTAATTACTTGAAAATTAGGTTATATAACACGGAGGGGTCAATGAAAAGCTTGTACTTGCCATTTTGTATATCGCATATCTATTAAATATCTGCTATATTCTCACAAAACTTTTTCAATAGCTACGACGTACATCTGAGCAAGGTAATGTTCAAACGATATCGGAAAGGGTTCTTTACATTGATAATAAGTGGGATTCTAATTTAATCAAAGTGAACAACAAAGTCAACAAACTTCAGTAAAAAATTGAATGGTAACCTACCTGAGCAGAATTTTGTAATCTTCAAACTTCTCCTATGTCACTAACACAACAAAGTTTATGAACATGTTAAAATTGATTTTTTTATAAATGAACTATGTCTCGTTTGACAATTTCTTCCTTTACCACAACCTAAAGGCTTATTAATATTATGTTGAAACGTTTTGGATATAAGAACACAACAGCTTCAGTGCATGGTGCCTATTGCCCCCAAATGCCCTGGTACGGCCGAGAGTGGGGGGAGTCCGCTCCCCTTCTCGAAATGCTCTCATATGGCCACGCGTATACAGCCCCTGCCAGGGAAGTCCTACTCACTGCCTTCTCGTGGAGGGGGTGTTGTTTACGAAAATGAGAGGACGAAAAGCGAATGTCCGGCGCTATAACCGGATCCCAAACCAATGGTGCACATGGGCTCCAGTATCCTGCGGGAACAAATGGCGTATGAACCAATCGTTGGTCACCGGCTACCATGGGACTGCATCTCCTCACGATGCTCCACTGCCTTGTGGATCAGATCTTCAGGTCGAAGGCTCGGGGTGTGGCCCCCTAAGAAAACCACCTGCTTCGGTTTGGGCACCCGGGCAGTATCACAGCCCTCACACATATCAAATGAGATCTGTGTGGCGCATATGTATTTGGTGCCTTCTTGTACCGATATTATGTGTTAAAATAAAATAAAATAAAAATGGTGCCTATTGAAGTGTTTAAAAAATCATAGAACGTGGGATACTTTCCCAAAACCTTTATACCCCCTATGAACTTTTTGGTTCGTAGCAGGTTTTTCGGGACAAAATGATTTTACATATAAAATTGCAGATGACTTATATAATTTTCAAAACAAAACCCAAGAAGGCTATTAAAACGATGCCTTCTGAGAATCAGTGTTTGTAAGTGAAATCGAATGGAAAATTTGACAACCAACTATTATGATAAATATAAACATACAATATTACTGAATACAAAAACATCATATTGATAATTTTCAAGTTTTATTCATTTGAAAATTTTGCCCATCTATTGAATTGCATTGCAGTTTGAGAACAATTTTCTCGAGATTTTGTGAAAAATTTTAGTGTCAACCTAATAAACGTAATTTAAGTTCAGTTTATTACTAGTTGATGTTATACATACATACATACATTAAATACTACATTTGCAAATCTTCCATCAATCGTCTTCTACATCTTTAATGATTCTTCCAATTCTTAATTCCCTTCTGTTTTCTTTAGTTCAGTCTTCTCAGCCTTCTTTTGACAGGCATTCCGATTTTGATCAGTGTTGCGTACTACTTATGTCTGTCGACATAATTAGCATACACCATACACATAATAAAAACAGTAAACTGGAACTTGAAAACGATTAACTTAACAGGCAAAACAGGTTAATGAAAGACAAAAAAACAAAGTGTTGTGAAAATAACTATTGTGGAGTAGGCAAAAAATGTTAATAGTGATGATGATAAACAAAATAATACAGTAAACTTTAAAATTGCAATAAAATTATGACCACTAACTTTTTAAATTAATTGTAGAATGTTTCTCCTCAGAATCACTTTTTATGTCTTCATCGGAAACACTGGAGTTTAATGCATCTAAATATAATTGACATAGTTGATCGTCCCATTGATTACACAGGTTTGTACCAACAAAAGCTCGTAGTAACTATCAAATAAAGAGTCCAAAAATGCTCTTATTTAAAAAAAGCATCAAACAATAATTGTTTATTTACAGAAGTTCATCAAAAATTCTCAAGAAAAACGTTCAGTATAAGCCAACTATTCTATTAAGTATTTTTGTATCCTTCTATGTAGTAAGCCATCTAGGAAAATGGGTAATATGGCACGACAGAAAATACCCTCTTGAATGGAAAGCAATGAGGATAACATAATAGCGGCTGATTAGTTCAACATATTTAAAGCTTTGTCAAAGACTGTTACGATATAATTAAGATTTTTATCAGTTGATAAATGATGTTAAGATTGCCAAATAACATTTATCAATTTTTTTTTTCAACGAAAGCTATTATAATTTAGAAATGGTTACTCTCATGAGTCACTGTAATAAGTATCAAATAAGATAAATTAACATATCAAAATTTCGCCGATGTGGTATAATTTTCATCTTAATTGTTTAACAAGACCGAATAACCATCACTAGCTTAAAAAATAACAGTGATGCGTCAGTCACCTTGATGGATAATCAAAAAAGATTTATTCCCAAGGCTAGTTATTCAGGCCCCCAAATGCCCTGGTACGGCCGAGAGTGGGGAGAGTCCGCTCTCCCTCTCGAAATGCTCTCACATGGCCATGCGTATATAGCCTCTGCCAGGGAAGTCCTACTCACTGCCTTCTCGTGGAGGGGGTGTTGTTTACAAAAATGAGAGGACGAAAAGCGAATGTCCGGCGCTTTAACCGGACCCCAAACCAATGGTGCACATGGGCTCCAGTATCCTGAAGGAACAAATGGCGTATGAACCAATCGTTGGTCACCGGCTACCATGGGACTGCATCTCCTCACGATGCTCCACTGCCTTGTGGGTCAGACGTTCAGGTCGAAGGCTCGGGGTGTGGCCCCCTAAGAAAACCACCTGCTTCGGTTTGGGCACTCGAGCAGTATCACAGCCCTCACACAAATCAATTGAGATTTGTGTGGCGCATATGTATTTGGTGCCTCCCTGTACCTATACTTATGTGTTAAAATAAATAAAATAAACTAGTTATTCAGGGTTATTGACCGAAAACAATAGTTTGATTTATAAAAAGTAATATGGTGTTAATCGCTTAGAGCAAGTATATACACTGAAGTATTTTTAACTCAATTCATACCACAGTTAACTACTTATCCAGAACATACGAAATGTAAAAGTACCATATGTTATGTTGTGCGGTCGTCCGAGTTTGTTAGTAATATACAAACTTTAGATGTGAGTCCAAGCCAACTACTTGACTGAGAAGACAGGAAGTGAGAAGTTTTAGTCAGTCAGTGAGCTGCAACGTAGTACCAGGCACGTATATGCATCGGTCCAAGTTGCCATACCGCATTAGCACAACAAGATGAACACCGGATTCATAGAAGTAGTTAATTCAGTGGTGGTAATATATAGAAGAAAGAGTGTGTATAAGGAGATAGTACAGGAAGATAGAATTAGTTCGTAGAAAGAAAGGTTTGAAGTGATTTTAATCTCTTAGTTTAAAGGAAGACAGAGAGTGTATACACCGACGCCATTGTGATCGATTCTGAGCCATATCACCAAGAGTCTCCAACCATTGGTTACGATAGTCACGCGGACCCCAACCAGGCAGTCTGCATCTACCAACATGGCTCAGACCAGGAGTTAGAGACTTCAAGCACTGATGCCACGTTTTGGTTTGGCCGCCCCTAACTTTCTTCCAATCATCCCTAACACCGGTTAGCATTGCGCGCCGTGGTAATCGGTGTTCAGTGATTGAAACCGAACCCAGAATATATGTACACACATTCATAAACATACATCCTTCTCTCTTCGAGAATCAAGCTGTACTTTCACCCAATAATGGATGCTTTCTTGAAAAATAAGACTAAATCTTGACCAACAGAGTATGCTAATATTATAACACGTCATTTGGCTGTCTCCGAGTATCACCATAGATATCAATATTATTCTCAATTATATTAAAAACAATGCTTTCTGATGTAATGCTAAATGATAAACTACTAAGACACGTGTCTCAAGAACCATCTTAAAAATAATGATAGATATTCTCACATTTTAAGTTACTTATACTTTCGATATCAAGCGAAAAGTATAGACACAAAATAAATGAAATTACCTGAGTTGATAACTCTAAGCATGGACCAGGCTGCCAATTGTAAAATGAAGTTAAATAAATTAATAATTCGTCTGCATACGGAGCGATTTCATAAAAATGAAGATTTTCCAATAATCGACCGAAGGAATATAGACAGGTATGTAGTAAACTCATTAATCGATCATGAGAACCAGTTAAATCAGCCGATATCTAGTTATTGATAAACAATAAAAATAAGAAATCTAAATATGAATGCTAAATAGAGGGATTTGATTTACAGTGAGGGACTATTGAGTAGTGATCAATGTCATATTTGTCTAGTCCTTAGTGGCAATCAAGTCCTAATGTGGCTATCAGGCTAAGTAACTCTACATTTTAGTTAACTGTGTCATATATTAGGTGATTAGAGGGAGTTGTCAGGACACCATATACCTTGGTTTCATACTAGTTGATACTCGTCAGCAAAAAGTAAGTGAAGATAATCTCGTTGGTTTCCACGTGATTTTCATAATTACTGATCAAAGGTTTTGGGTGACGTGATTCACAATCAGTCCGAATGCTACAGATGTATTCGCTCTTTTTTGTAAAATACTTTTTATGACACAAATTACATAATCTACGACTAATTTTTTCTACTAACACTGATATTAACATTAGTTCCATTACTCTGACATTTGTATTGATAATTTCATCTTGTTGTATTGAAGGGCTGTGTCAACTTGAACAGATCCATATATATGCTAGGTTTTACGTTAGTTATGATATAAAGCCATGTCTCAATGCTTTAGAAACTCAGTCGTCTATCCCCATATCAAATGTTTAGACAGTTAACTAGAATTACTAGACCTCTGGTACTCAACATAATGCAAGAAGAATTACTTATTTGCTGGACTGCATTATTATTATTACGAAAAATTAGAAATGTTTCACTCCTTAATAAGATTCACTATAAAAACTAAATAGATTTATTCGAGCGATGAACAGTTACATAGATTAAATTAAACTGAATGATGATCCGATATGTGATTTAATTGGGTTCGATTGATTGAAAAAACCCTGAACAATTAACTTTTAAATACTTTCACACAAAAAGTATTTGAAATAAACAAGTATACAAGTAAACAAATGCCCTGGTATGTCGAGGGGGGGAGAGTTCATTCTCTATCCTGCTTCGGTTTGGGCACCCGGGCAGTATCACAGCCCTCACACAAATCAATTGAGATTCGTGTGGCGCATATGTACTTGGTGCCTCCTTGTACCATTACCTATGTGTTAAAATAAAATAAAATAAAAAAACTATCTCGAAATGATCTCACATGGCAATGAGTATACAGACACTGCGTTCTTGTGGCGAGGTTGTTGTTTACGAAATTGAGAGGGTGAAAAGCGAATGTCCCGAGCATTAACCGGAGTCGGAAAACCCTGATTTCAAACTAATGGTGAATATGGGCTCCAGGATACTGAGGGAACAAAAGGCGTATGAACCTATTGTAGGTCACCGGCTGCCGTAGAACTGCGTCTCTTAAAGTTGCTCCACTGCTTCGTGGATTAGACTTTTAGGTCAAAAGCTTGGGGTGCGACCCCCTAAGAAAACCACTTGCGTCGGTCTGGGTGCCCGAGCAGTATCACAGCTCTTACACAAATCAGTGAAAACTACCACTGGTCTCATTTTTATTGTGTGGAGCATATGTATTTGGTGCCCCTTGTATCAATGTTTACGTGTTCAAATAAATAAATAATAAATAAAACTCACTTTAAAAGATTTATATGCAGTTTTAAGGGTTTTATATAATGACATATATTGTGGCAAGTTTGCAAAATATCCAAGAGTTGAAGAAGTTAATGTTAGAGAATGTCGAGGTGCTTGATAAATAGAATAAATAACAGACAACTAAAAGTTATTAACAATCCAGGTAAGTTATTTTATTATTATTAAGTTCCTTTTATAAAAACTGTCTCATATAAAGTTAGGGTATTAAAACAAAACATAAATGAAATCTGAATAGTAGAAAAGTAACGATTTTTTAAAAGAAAAAATTCAGCTAAGCTAAAAAATAATAGCATATTTGGCAGAATATAAAAAAACTTTGAATTGCAGTCACATGAGACGACAAAGATTACGACAGTAAACAGTGACAGCAACCCAATCCTAAAGGACCACAAATACAAACGGATCTATTCTCTCAATTAAGTTCAAGAAACGATGGAAAATTACAAAAAACATACAGATATATGTGAAGAATATAAAGTCAAAAGATTTTTGAAAGCTTTATAAGTAAAATGAAAAGTTTAATGTAGCTTCCTAAACCGGTGATCTAATGATAATCTAATAATTTTATTTTTGTTGAACTACTTTACTAAGTTTTTATCTGCAAAGGTGTTATCGTAGTGATTAAATTGTGACAGAAGTTTCCATCGCTGTACTGTGGGAAAAAAAGATTAACATCATGTAATGTTTCTAATGATCCATTATTTCTTATTATCAATAATAACAGATTTCTTGGCATTAAATCACATAGTGAAACTACGTTGATCACTTCTTATGCCACTATTCCCTATTTATGTTAATATTAGCTTTCAAGATCTTAACAATATTCTTTTAATTCAATTCATTTTACAAAAAACTTGTGTCTACTGACATGAATGGCATCAGTAACTTGATATATACACAATACACACTAATAAACTGTTAAAGGGACTGACATATTATGAGATGAGTGCTACGTTAATCCAAATATTTAAAACATGAGATGTAATTAGTATGTTACAGAGTACGCAAGCATTTATACTGTGGTTATGTAAAAATAGAACACATTTAGTAAACACAGTGTTTTCTTTTTCTACAATAAAGCGATATTATCCATAAGACAGATTACATATGATTAAATGTTAGTACTTTTTTTTCTTATTTTTATCAGAATTAAAACGGTAAAAGCACAGTATAGGGACGTGATAAAAAGAACCGTGACAAATTTACGAATGGTTCATAGCTAGTTGGAAAAATCTCTTATTAACGGTAATGAAAATAAATAGTATTGATGAATACAAAAAGATTTCACATGATTAATGAACACAATAACGTCTTTTACAAGTTACTTTGTTTGTAAATTGAAAAAAAGACAAAAATTCATCCTTCTAGATATAGATTGTTTACCTTCCCGAACCCTTTAAAAAAACTCAAATAACTTATTAAGAGTTCTCACATTGTTCTTAGTTAAAATTAGATATTTAAGATTGGAATCAGGGGTTTAATGTTAGAATTTTCAAAACAAACTGTTTTACCTATAATGAGAAGATGTACTGTAATTATATAAATAAAAAAAATTTCGCATAAATATTCAAGTCTTATCTGATTAGTTCGTTTATAAAAAAAGGATGTTAGTAGGTTAAAGTTAATTTCAGGATTAAGAATTTGCATTTAAGAGTTAGGAATAGTGTCAACGCAACTGTTACATCTAATTTATAGAGACATAAGCAAGCATTTGATACAATTAACACTATCCATTTTACTCTATGGTAGTAGGAAATTATTTTTTGTTATCAGTTTAAACGTCTTGAGGAGCATACAAAATTATTTCTACTTCTCGTTATATGTGATACATCAATTTCACAAAGCTTGAAAGTCAAGTTTTTAATTCTGACTAGCTCATCTCTATACCATACTTTTACTACGGAAACTACATATTTCTAATGATATAAATTTATCACAAATAATATGTATATGAATATCTTACCTGGCAAATGTTTTCTCAGGGAACCACCTAATTTTGTTCCATAATTACGTTTCCTACTAGATGATGTATCCACACTACTAATAGTACCACTGTTGCTCATAGGAGTATTATTGGCAGTACTAGCAGGAGAATTAATGATTTCGTGATCAAATTTGGTCGTAGAAAAATGGGTTCTTGTCTGAGCTAAATTAGCTACGGAATGCATAAATGATTCGGATATACCAGAGTAAATTGAACTGATAGGAATTTTGGACGTTACTGAATCATATTGATGATGTTGAGGTAAGCGAATCCCTTCGAAAATATGCCATAGAATGCAACAAACCCTATTGATAAAGTAAACATACGTGCAAAAACTCGGTAGCACTGCTGACTATATGTCACTGAAAATAAAATTTGACCATAAAGAAAGTAAGATTTCCATCGTCCTGATCATTATTTTTAGAAATAGAACCCAGTAAGGCCTCTTAAGTGAGAAAGATGAACGTAAATAATACTACATAGTCGACTGTGAAATCTCAACAACAATACGTAGATTATTGAAGTTTATTTTATTAGTGGGACTTGAACGATAATGTAACGACTGTAACAACTTAGAGATTAAATAGAAATGTACTAATTGTAAATATAAGAAGATGGTACAATCTAGAAAAAATCATGCATTTTTACACAAACTGTAGCAGTACAAAGATGTTACGGATTTTAAAAGTAGGTTATAAGTACAAAAACAAACTTTAAGGGTGTGAAAACTTGTCATTTTTTCTATATTGAAACGCATTTCTGTTTTATTTTTCTCTTCGAATATTACGGTAGTCTGACCAACGAGATAATAACTTGTTGACCAATGAGCTTTGATAAAATTACTTTGTTTTCTCAATGAAAGCTTTGTTTAGTTTAGGGTATATCTGTATTGAAAAATTTACAGTCATCACTTAATCTATCATCAAGGATATCATTCAAGTACAATGAGCAGTGGCTCGTAGTTGAGATCCTTAGATTGTCAAGTTAATGAGCAAAAACTTTAAAGAACCAAAACTCAACGATTCACATCTACAACTTATAGGCTGCTTACACTATTAGATAATTTTGTGTCCCAAAGTTGTCAGTCGTTGTGGACGACCGTTTATTCTGTAAATACATTAAATATAAAATTCATTTACAATTCAATACCTATCTCAGATAATGAAACAGCAGGTTTCATCCCCATAGGCCTTAAGATCCCTTGAAATACATATACATCGGAAATCCGATGGCAAAAGAAAAAATATATATTAAGCCACATTTAAATTAGACATCAAGACGGGATCGCAGAACTACGATAAAAAAGCACCGCAAACTGGTACAGAAAGCGACAAAAGGCTACTTTTATTTTTCCAAAAATGTTAACATACCATTGATGATTGATTGAAAGTTTACAGTTTATTGGCAAAAGCAAATAGACGGGGAATAGGTAACAAAAGAGAAGTTAGCACCCTTTTAAAACATTATTTTGTATAAAAGATGATGTTCTCTGTCCTTCACACATTCTCCTTCCCTTGTAATCAATTAGAGCGTTTTGAATGTTTGAGAAAAATAATAGGTAATTGCAGATCATTTATATTTACGCAAAGTTTAGACGAAATAAGAAATACTTTTAATATAATCATTACTAACCTCATTAGATGTTGCATAAAAGCCAAAGCATATCGAGTAAATGGTTGTTGTTTATTTGAAGCAGGTAATTCATTACCATTTTTATCTGTCGAAGATTTATCCAAGAGTGTATAGACAGACCAACCTGTTAATTAAAAGTGCCTACGATGAATCATTGTACATAAGGTTTACTTGATGGTGTAATTCATATGTCTGTTAAATAATTCATTACGTTCTCGTAATTAGAACCCAATCAGTCAAAATATTGGAATTTTTGAAATCGCATGGGTACATTTGGATTCAATGCTTTGGAACGAGTGATTCTTAATGACACCCTATAAATTCCACAAATACCCACTCAGATTGTCGTAAATCAAAGTCAGTTGTATAGAGAATAAAATTTTTGCTTTCTTTTAACTTCATGATAACTAGGGTGTCAGTCATTAAAGCTGAAGTGTAGGTTCAGTTGAAGATTATTTTGCGTTGCGTCTACATATATGTTGATGTTATAAATTAAATGACCTTGTGATACATATGTTTCCCAGTGAAATAATAAGTTATTAGTCGGGGTTACGTTGCTACAACTCGAATTACATTTGGTATGATTATCTCTTAGTCATAAAACAATCGGGAAAAACCGATGGATAACTGGAAAATGAAACAGAATTAGAGGTTCAAATGTACACCTTAATAAGTTCATAACCGGAGTGTTTTCAAGTGGTAGTAATTTCGATTCAACCGCAATTTGGTTTTTCCTGTAGCATCAACCATACATAGGAAAAAATCAATTCACTATAAATCCCTAATTCGCACTTAATATTATACATAACTACTGTATTATAATAAACATATGTATTTTCCTCTAGTAATGATAGTATATTGCATAGAATACGAAAAAATGAGCAACAGGAAAGTTGAAAGAGCCAACTAGAGAATGAGAACAGTTATTGTTGTTCCACATTATTCTTTACAGGTTCATCGTTACAACTGTGCCAAACTACGAGAGGTTGTACAAGTTGGCATTTCGTTGTTTTCGGAAATATCCTTTGTCGAGTCTCAAGGTCATGTGTTGTCACTTAATATGCAAAGTTGTTCTAACCCAATTTGTTCACTTGAATGTCAAGTTTCCTTGATCCTCTGACTTTTCATTTTTACGCGTCACGTTGGGGATTATTTTATTGTCACTGCTTATCAGTTACCCTTCTACTGAGTTAGCATTAGATTCCGTTCGTATGAAAATAATCCCAATAGAACGTAATTAGGAATTAACGTAGACCGACCGAAAACATGACACCAATATAATGTCAGCTTACAAATTTAGTGTTTAGTTACTTCCTAATGAATGTTGAATAATATAAGAATATAACTTACGTGTTACACAACCAGTACACAAATTCAATAAAGAAGACTGTAGTTCTAAGTCAAGTGATGTTACTGGGGCTGAAGACAACAGAGTGAGACAATGCCAAGATAAGAGAGATAGACGTGATCTGCGGTGGGTAGGTTTTACGGAATTTTCATTTGATAAAGTGCTTTCAGAAATAGTCGATGATGAGGGAGAAGGATCAAACCATAAATGAGAAAAACTGAGTAAATGAGATGATCCAATCAGCTGGTTCAAGCAACCAACAACACCAAGCTGAAAAAATTTTTTAAATGATAAAAATACACTAAATATTCAGAGACATTTACTTAGAGTAAAATTGGAAATTTAACGGAATTATTTCGACTATATTTAAAATTTAAAAGGGATAACATAACATTACATTGGTGAGCTTAACAAATAAATAGATGCAGACTTATTATTTCAACAAACGTTACAGGCTTACTAAGCTAGTGAACAGTCACAGTTGAGTATATTGTAACTGTCAAACCTTGAAAATGCTAGCTTTCTCATAAACTTTCCCGCTGAAAAAGTTTCAACCAACATTTAAGGTGCTTTCGTCCAAAGGTGTTCAGCAAGAAACGATATAAACAAACTAATTTAGTCTGTTCAACTCAAACGCTAGAACAACACGGACACTACATTCAATACATTCCATACGAGCTGCGTTTTCCAGTAGGTAATCTATTCCAAATGAGTGAACCGCAACATTACTTTCCATTTTGATTGACATGATAGATTCCAATGCTTTTTCTAAACAGATGCTCAGAAAATTATGGCAGCAGAGCCAGGATTTAGTAAGTAATGACAGTATCTTATGATACTATAAAAAAGATTCATGTATTATCTGTGAACAAATACGTGAAATCAACTAAGTTAGAGAACCCATCTAAACTTATCTAGGAAAATGATATCATAAGCACAAAGACAGATTTTATATGTGCACAATTTCGTCGCTTATAACGTAGACAAGATGCTTGTACTTCTGTAAGAGAGCGATAATACTGTTCAGGAGCCTATCATATACTACCTAAGCGGTATCAATCATGGTCACTGAATGTTGAAGTTGTGTGTGTAATGAGCGTTAGACTGAAGATATCGCAGAAATGTTGCTTGCTTATGGAAGGGGGTGTTGATATTAGAGTGCTACAGTAAAGTGGTAGATTACCTGAAAAACTGGTAGACCTCCGAAGTTTTTTGAAATCCAGGTAAATGTGTCATAGAGCTTGAATAAAAATCTAGTAATGAAACTACTGCTTGAGATACGAAAGGACGATTTAAGACCGTCCACTGACCTACGATACATCGGGACTATAGGTTTCACGTTTATGAGTTTAAGAATTATTGTAATTTAATTGAGTATGACCTAGAGGAAAGAGGACTTATGTTGAGAAACCCCGAGTAGCTCCACTTAAACTATGTACAACTCATCCCTACCTTGTTGCATATCATAATGAAGAGACCACAAATCACATATACGTAGCGTTATCATAGAGTAAGTTCTATTAAAAAGGCGTAGTGAACAGGAAGTTAGAGAAGAATGGAAGGGGGTAAAAGTAGTTCACGGATCAGAAAATATGAGAGGCAATTGACAAAAACAAAGAAAAAGTGAAAAACGTGGAGGTCGTAATAACGCTTGAATAGAAATCCCGAAAAATTGTTAGAGGATAATAACTGAACACAGTTTTTGAAAAGTACAAAATAGTAATAATAAAAATGAAAACAAGACCAGAACATAATGAAAAGGGCATTAGGGCTATGAAAGGACGGGAGGTTAAATGTAATGATTTGGCACGCAGAGTTCAAGCCTGAATTAGTGGATTGTCAACGCCTCAGTAGTGCATAAGTTTTTTTATTCGAACTCCCTTTTATCCCACTTTTGTAACTGTGTAGACTTTAAAGGAAGACTCCTTTGTACTGAACTACCGATTGTTTTACATTCCTCTCTTAAAAGCTATCCCGGGTAATGTTATGAGATACGTTTAGAAAGTGTTCTCTTTGTACGGCGAAAGAAAGCTGCCCTCTTAGAGCAAGCAAACATGCAGATGTACATCGATGTAGCTCAAAGTAAAAATTTTCAGATCACACCATGATGTAATCTCTTTTTATAACCTTACAAACTCACACTTATCAAATAATTATAAATACGAACGCGCGGCACAAGTAATATGTATTTTATAGCAACCAGAAAATTACCGTATCAAGCTGTTGACTACTTGCCTTGTGAATAAAAAACCGGCTTGAAATGAGAGCAATGACTATGGGAGGTATTTTATTTTGCTGGTGATAAATCATGTTATTCCACACGAATAATACGAGTTTCAATCCAGTGGTCAGTCTTAAGAAATTTTCATACTCCACATATATTCAGAATTGTACTCAGGTAAATAAAACCCAGAAGTTGTTTTAGTAGAAATAAGCACCCATTACCCAAAATGTTTACGTTAGGAAATAAAAATTTACCAGCATGTAGCGATCTTCAGGCAAAAAACTAGAACACGGCAATTCCATTAGAGCAGTCAAACATTTACGGAAGAGACGTGTAGTTCCTGTACTACATAAACGAAAATCGGTAACTTGATTACTTATTTTATTGTGTTCTGCCTCTAAATACAATAACTGTGACATTTTTGATTGGTAAAACTGTCGTCCAATAGGTCCAACATCCATTTCCATTGGTAGAGTAGATAAACAAGGTGGTAAACCGTGAACACCCGAAGCACCAACCAAACCATAACATGAAACTTTTGATTCTACGAAATAAAAAGCCAATCAAGATAAGTAGCTGGAAAGAATGGTTATTATTGTTCATGCATGTGAAGAAACTTTGAACATCACAAACCAAAGATTGTGAAAGAATTATTACATAAAATCATGTACTACTGGAATAGTGTGTACTATATTTGGTCAGAATTTCAATGGCGATTTCATTTTACAGAGCGATATTAGGGCTACTCTGAAATCTATAGATAGTATGTAAATCTAGCTCCTACCAAACGTAATTGAATACTACAAAGCGATTGCGATCAGGAAATACACTGAAAGAGGAAATCTCTTTGTAGTATTCAGTTACCTTAATAAGTAACCCCTTATTATATATGACAGTCCCATGTTCTTATAATTAAGTCTCCCTAAGATAACTAATTTGATGACTCACAAAAATTATACAATTGAAAATCATAACTCATGTTATACTGTATGGAAAAAACCTGGAATGATTTAAATTTAAATAACTGTCGAAAGATGTGCCGGTAACACCTATAGAAGTATAGTGAGCTGTATCAATCACCTAAAGATATTAAGTCCTTGTGCTCTAGGTGTTAACCATTTCTAGTGGCTATTATTTTATGCTCCTGACCGACACAAGCATATTAACCGATCACTATTGAAGCATGAACAATTAATATGTGATTGCTCATGACAATTAATTATATTTAAATAAGAGCAGGAAATGGAAACAAAGAGAAAGTGACAATATTTGCAGAATAAGATGAAGTGATTGTATTTCATTGCTTTTTCTTCAGCCACATGTAAGCTAATAAGTTTACTTATTTCTAATTATTAACATAATGTTTGATATGTCTTGAGACACTAACCAATACTACATGCTAAGAATTCTACCTATAATTTTGTCTACTCCGCGTCTACTAGTTCTTCCATAGTCTGGTGTCCCAGACTCCGCTAGTTATACAGATAGCCAGCACCGTTTACCTTGAGCCGAAACAGCTAAACTTCTATTAATCCGCTATTTACAACCCTTACTCTAGCTTCTACCATGAGACCAAGAAAAAAGTCAGCGACCAACCTCTAGTATTATTAGATTCCGAACATATGTGGGTTTATAGTTATCATTACCAAGGTTTAACTTGATAATTTCAAATAAATTGAGCATTGAGTAGATTGTTATAAATAAATAATATATTTTTGTAATGTCCCAATGAGTAGAAAAACTAGATTATCTGACGTTTCGTGACACAGTGTAAGCCACTTCTTCAGAGAATATATAGCCAAATACATTATTTTATTTATATGTTGGTTTAGATACAGACATATTTGACCGCATCGTACCATAAAATGGAAAATCACAATTATATATACATGAGTCAAGAGAGGCTTGGTAATTATATACCAAAAATATAAATAATAATTCGAAAACGAATTACAAAAGTTCTGACTTTTATAATAATGAATTGTCAACGAATAAGGAATAAGTTGTTTGAAGTGCGAAAGAAGGTACCACACCACTTACTAGACACGAACACAAAGTAGATGCAATAGATGCGATCAAAGTTATCAATAAACAGCCCGATTCTAGTTCATTAATACTCGCTCAAGTCATAGCGAATGGAACATTTAAACCTGAAATTCGTGTTCAAAAAGAGTCAGTAGTTTGTCCTCAACTGTTCTGGTAACAAAAACAGTTAAGTATTTTAATTCTTTTCTCATCAATTAATTGAAATTACAATCTAGTGAATTTAACTCACAGGTATTTTTTACGTTTTACAACTTTTCAGACTTTTTATTGTATTCTAGATCGATCGCTTTAAGTAATTATAAAACTCTGTTGAAACTAATATTTAGTTTCACTTACAGTCCAAATAACTTATCCTCTTTTGATTGACAGTTTATTCAATCGAATTCAATATTATGCTAATAAATGGCAATAAGGAGACTTATGAGCCTGTATGTAGTTGAAGATAATGCAACGAAATACAATCACTTCACGTTGTTTTGCAAATATGTTTGTTCTTGCTTTCTCTAAATTCGTGAAAGGGGCCAACTAACCACTCTACACTAAATTCAGTGTCATGGTTAGCAAGTTAAAACAACATCAAACACTAATAGTCTACAAAAATGGTGTAGGTTATTTAGGGATAAATAGAAAGCTGAATAATAGCCAAGAAATATATATGTTTAAGATTTTTTACGTGACACCTTATCACTTACTAATCATTGAATACGGTTGTGGCAGCCAAAAGTGCAAACTTCGCTTGATACGGTTTGGTAGTAAACCTCCAGTGGAAACACCTAAATTATCACCAATGCCACTAGTCAGATTGGAAGCTAATGCAATTAATGCTGTGGAAGCTTGTTCACGTAAATCTGGATCAGTATCACACAAAATTCGCCAACACTCAGTCCATGTCAAATCTATCAATCTAGCAGGCATTACAGAAAACAGGGCTGACTAAAATAAATAAACGAAGGAAGAAAATTATTACCAATGCGTTTAAAAAAGTTGTGATTAGACTTCACAAATCTCTATTTACAACACCTAAAGTGTGTCGGGGATATTTGATAGTGGCGACCTTTATTAATTTGGGATATTCTATCTTTAAAATGTCGACAAACTCCATATGGAATACTTTTAATGGTGTAAAAAACAGAATTTCGAATATAAACAACTAGAATTGGTTATTTATTCTCTGAAGAAGTGGCTTACACTGTGTCACGAAACGTCAGAAAATCTAATTTCTCTACTCATTGGGACATTACAAATATATTATTTATTTATAACAATCTACCCAATGCTCAATTTATTCAAAATTATCAAATCAAATCTTGGTGATGATACCTATAAGAATTTAGACTAGTTAAAGTCTAGAAAAACATATTCTTTTCTGCAGCGTTGTACTACCTTTTAACTAATTTTGAATGTTCTGAAACAAATATTGCTGTAGATCCAAGGATTGATAAATTGTTTACAAAATGCGATAAATATGTAATGCAACCAGGCATTCAGATTAAACCTTTCTTGCATCTTATGGGACGAAAACTAACAAACTTAATAATAACGCTTGCAACACTTAGACTTATTATAATTTATTTCCCATAAAATAATTCAGTGCAGATATTAGCGAATTCATTTTTTCTAAGGGTATTTCAATCACAAACATAAAACACCTATTAACCAAAAAACAGAACTATATTTTAAATAACAAACCTTTGCTAATTCATGTGTCTTCAATGTTCCTTCTAAATATCCAACAGATGCCCAGTCAAGTTCAGTGACTAAGTTTAGCAACTCACGTCGAACTAACCGATAAGGATGACGTGATGCATGAATAACAATTGAACTCAGTGTTTTTAGAAAACGATAAACCAAAAGTTCATCCGGTAATATGTTAGATTCCTTTGGATAAAATGAGGATTTCCGATCAGCACAAGACAATAAAGCGTTAGAACATGCGCGTAAACCAGATAAAGCCCATCGTAAAGTTATCCCAGATACCTTGAATAAGTAATAAACGCAGAAGTTAAAATATGTTTTTTAATATTACCACAACATACGAGTAGCTCTTTTAGTTTTCATCAAACTGGCTTGATTACATAAGAGAATATTTAGGAAAATATGAATGACTGGTAAGTTGTCATTTACGAAGTGACACGTAAAACGAATTTGTTACTTATCACAAACTTAAGTAATCACAATTGTTTGACGCAACAGATGTCAAAGAGCAAGTTAGGAATATGAGGACTATATTCATTTCTTCAGTTATCATAGAAATTATGTAAACAGGTCACAAAACAAAACAATTTATACTCTTGAAAAGAATTACTTAACAAGCTTCCCTCTCCAAATCATCTTAAGAACACAACTAGAAAAAGAGACAATTAGAATGACATATGATCGATAAAAGCCATAAAAAATGTGTTACGAAAAACCTTAGACAACTATTTCCAGTTATTTCTTTGTCATAAAAAAATAACTAAAGTTAAATGAAAAGTTAGATTATGATCAGATATAAATAATCTGTTTCCCTAATGGGTGAACTAAACAAGCACCAACTGAGAGTCAAGTAAATCAACTATTAGTTATGGCCGATTTTTCACTTAAAAAATTGTATACTGTCCTTGTAATGTATGATTAATATTATTAGGAAAGTAGTATAAATCTTGAAAATTAGACATTGATTTCAACTAATAAAAGTTGAATTTTATTAAGAAAATTAATTGTATAAAAAGATGAAATATTGGCATGATATCAAGTAAATAGATGTTCAATGGTTAAATTTTTCTATCCATGAAGTAAACATTTTCATATTTTACATATACAACTATACTTATACTTACAGATGACGTATGGTAAATGTAAGTTATTAATTATTCTAAGTTAAAAGAAAAACAAATAAAATTTCACTTTCTGCATTAGAACAATACAATACATGTCCACTTATGTTTTATATCTTCATAAAGAATTATCAACAATTAGTCACAAGTTAATAGACTGAAAATTAAATGGTTACAATTACTGATGAAAACATCAAGTTAAATACATAGATAAGTCATTTTATGAAGAGTCCCACAATAGGACGAAACGGCCTTCCGGTGCTTCCAGGTTTTCCATGATGGTCTAGCTTCAATTGACTCATGATCACAACTATTTAAATTACTACAATCTCCACAAAACCTCTTCTGATACTAATTTACATAATTGTTGTTCTTTATTTATCTTCTACAACATTCTTAATTTACTTCTGAAGTAACATGTAAATACCAATAACAAATTTACATGTTCATTGATTTTTCCTACTATGTTTGATTATCCTTAGTGTTCACTGTGAAAACATCGTATATGTTGGGTTGTACAAGTCACAGATCTCTTCTCTATACTAGTTAATTGAAATATCTGTTCAAACAGATAATTAATTTTCTCTGGGAATCAAATATCACGATCACACTACTCGAGCATTGTAACAATATTAAGTGGTTAACTCTTTAGCACGTACTAAAAAATGAGTTATCGTACCCCATGTTTTCCTGTTCCTATACTATAAAATAAACCTCTCGACACTGATTACTGAATAATTCAAATCCAGAAATTATTGAGGAGGGGTGGTTAATGCTTATGAATGTGAAGAATTAACTTCTTCAAATATGAAAGCAGTTATAAACTTCGAAACTATGTATTTCGGACGATATCAGCTAAAAATCAATTATTACTGAGTGCGGAGTATAGTTCAATAAATAGATTTTATGTCTGATTAAGGAAGGCAATGAAAAGACATCAAAGTATATTACATGGCTAAAAGACCATTAGAAAAAATGATACAGAAGGAGATTATTTAAAAAAGTTAACTCTAAAAGTCAGCTTGTTAAGAAAACACCGAAAACATAAACGTAGATAAACGTCCAGGAAATTCAAGTATCCATTTTATTTTTTGCTCTCTGCTTTCTTTATTTCTCACGCTTTAGCTGCTAATGTGGACTTTGTAACCGAACTGAAACCGCATAACGTTACGTAACTGATTTCACCTTTTCATCACGTTTATATTTCAACGTTGATCGTAACAAATTAATGGATCTTAGCAGCTAGCCTGTTCTAAGGTCTCATTTAAAAATATGACAGCTTCCTATTGATAGCAAGATTCCATTAAAACATTACATTTCTGAATATGGTGCAACAGTACGGTTGGGTCTCACAACGAATATTAGTGGTACTTCACTAAACTCAGTTCTCTTCACGAAGTTAAGCGCATTATACAACTACTGAACATACTGAAGCCTCACAGATTAACAATGATCAGTATTTAATGCCAAACAAAAAAGTTTTAGACTTTTTATTTGGACAATTCGAGTCGTATTGTCTTCTAGCTGCAAATATTCAGTAGTATTTGAGGTTACAGACCAACTAAATTAAAAAAAAACTGAAATTCTTATGGTATAAATAAGACCTACATCCGTATTTAAATATGAGTCCAGTTTGGTGAAAAGATGATCTAGGCTTGTATATACAGCAAATTTATGATCATTTAGTAGTAAATAACCAGGATCTTGATCTGTTAGATTTTGCCAAACTAAATAAGAGGCTATCAAATTCCCAATGAGAATGCAAAGTTGGCCTTGAGCTTGTGGGTCAGTGCTGTTACTGAGAAATTCCAGAATCACCTCAACTGTAAAGGCATAGAATTAAGTATTAATGTGTTTGCAGAAAACAAGAACCAATAAGATTTATTAACAATTAAAAATGGGACAATTTATTTTGTAAGTGGTTCTCATCATCAATCAATAGGAACTAGAGAATCACTGATAACCAAAGATCGAATAGCTACTCCATTCTACTTCAAGTTTCTTCAACATTGGAAATTTTCATGTTCGAACAACATGGGACGTAAGGAATTCAGCTTTTACAAACAGCAAGCTTCCATTCGGATACCAGAGACGGAGTCAACGAATGATTATTTCAAATGTGCCGATCAGGTTAGTGGGAGCCGACGACGCCTAGGACAAACTCCCACTTCTTATCCTCACCACCGAGTTGACAGTGCTATGTAGTGACAATACTTTAACTGCAAGATTCCCGAAGCGTTGCAGTGAGAGAAGGCAGTTCTTGATAAGAGAAATTCTATTTCTAGGAGGGATAATTGAGGTACAATAACTGTCTTTATAGTCAGTAGAATGACCTTGAAAACACAATCAAAAATGGTAAACCAAAGGTGAAAGTAACCAATTATATATTAACAAAGATCAGTGGGGTTATGTGTTAAAAACACTACTGAAAACTTGTTCATTTTGTCAGCAAAATTAAAAAAACTAGATAATTTGGGACCATCTTAGCAGTTAGCTAGTGTCATTCTTCACGTATCGATACAACAGAAATATTAACTATTCCCAATAGGATTGTAGACAGTAAACAGAAAACCTAGTTGGTATGAATATCTATAAAACATAAAATTAATAAATAAGAAAGATTACCTGCCGTTGGCCACTGAATTCGTCTTACATTCAGTTGATCATTAGGACAACACTGATCACCATTTAGCTGAACAAAAAACATGAGTGGATTAAGCTGAGCTAATTGGGTTAAACAATTGATAACAAGTAACTGTAAACTAATTCGAGGTGAAGTTGAAGGCCTTGGCCACTGATTATGAATTTTAGAAGTTTCTTGTGCTTGCGGCATCATATCAAACGATAAGAGAAGAAAAGGTAATAACCAATCAGCCTGAACTAGATTGATTGGTTCACCTTGATTATTAAGGCGGTTAATGAGATCTAATAAGTTGAAAGGACGAAATTTCGAATAATGAATGGATGATGGTTGCTGGTCGTATGTATGGTCTTCTGGATCTGTAAAAGAGGGATGAATACGCAAACTACTGAGATAAATAATACAAGTCATCAACTTGTAAAATCAAGGTGCAACATTTTAAATTTAAACCACAAATTATATTTGCACAAAACAATATCCAAAGGCTTTTATGGAAAATAAAAGAATATTAATAACACTAGTTGTAAGTATTTATCAACTGGATTTTATGATTAATTTAGATCATAATACTTCATTTTAATTATAATCACTAGGAAACGTTAATATATAACTTACTAATTGAGTCATGACTATAATCAGTTTGGGCAGACTCTATATTTCTGGATGAATCAGCTACAATATTATAACCTAAATAGCTGAATACATCATCATTGTCATCATTCACTGATTTCTCTCCATCTCTAGACAAATGAGCACGAACAGCAGATAACTGATTTTGAATCTCTTGTCCATTGATTGCTGTGTCATTCGAATCTATCTTTATAGAAGAAGATAAACTGGAAGAGGATGCTGATCGAATGAAATATGTATCACGACTATCGACTGACTGAAAATCTGAGCTTGGACTCTTATCATCAATTGACTCTGATGAAAGCGTCCTAAGGAAACGATTGCTTGTAACAAAATCAGGAGTTTCCTTGGAGTTAGTAATATCGATACTGAGCTCATCTGTAATAATCAGATTGTAAAAATAAATGAAATTATATTTATGAAGATCAAAGTTATTAAAGATAACTCCAATACTTTACCAATAAATAATAAACTATATACCTGTCATTAATGTGCTGTGTTAATTGAATACATCACAAAGGAATGAAGTTTGATCACGTAAAACTATTTGGTTGGTTGGTAAAACGCAAAGTAAGAGACCCGAAGGTTTTGAATTCTGCCCCAGTGGGGTCATGTATGTACAGTGTTGAGGAATCTGAGACTAAAGAGAAACAGTTCATCTAAAGTCACTGGCTAATGAAAGCCAAGAATATCAATTATATTTGCAATGTGTTGACATAAACTGTCAATAAATTGAAGAATAGTGCCATGAATTAAAAGAAGTCTATTGATTAGCGTTAGATAGTGTAAATAATCATGAAAATTAGGATATTTAAATCAGCAATCACACATTTGTGTAATCACTTCATGATCTATACTTAGGCGAGCCTTGAACCTGAGAGATATTGATTACAGGTGAATCGTTTACAGATCTGCAGTTAATTGGTACAAGTTAACAAACAAACAATTGTAATAAATGTAATAACAGTCAAATCTTATTAAATAAACAAGGAAATGTTGAATGTAAAATTGAAAGTAAGTAGGGTAAAGTAAGGTTGTGAGACTTCACACTTTACAAATAAAATGTTTTTATGGTTTGATGGACTGTTACATTACAAATAGCAGATATCTAGTGCTTTATTACTATGCGAATCATCTGGAAAGAGGAGTCTTATATTATTGTGTTTATGTGAATCGACCATGAACTGAGTGGAAAAAGAGAAAGTAACAAAACTGAAAAGTAAGCCTTTTACGATAGGAAAAGAACAACAGAAATTATTTCAAAGTAACTTTCTCAACATAATACAACCATTTTAAAATGAATGATTAGAATGAGAATAATATGTATATAAAGGTAAATAAAAGATGAAAATTATCTATTTTGTATAAATAGAAAGTCAAATATGTATAATAGGAGGCAATTAAATGCTCCACTGAACACCTGAAAGACATCTTTCAACAATCAAAAATTTTCAGAATTACTGTCACTGCACTGGATAACCGCAACATCAACTTATTGATAATCTACAATAAACTGTACTTTTTTAACCTATAAAAATAGCTTACAATTTGCTTTGGCACATCATCTGATAATGTGTTTATATGAAGTTAATCAGCATACTAAATATGAAGCAATAACACTCGAATATTTGTAGACGGAACATTTTTTATATTTCACTAATAAAGTATGAAGTATAGTTGTTAGAACCGTTGATTTTCTCGTTTCAGATGAGTTTACTGATCTCTTGTGACTTTGAAATTCAATTTCAAATGTTTCATACTATTTTCAGGTAATTTTCCGATGATAACAAACCTGGCAGAAAAACGTTGGATTCAAACTAAAAAATTAAAAGCTCTCCTAAAAAGAGACATCAACAGAATAGCAGGAGCTGAGTTGTGGACAAATCAGAATTTATTTGATGTACATAATATACTTCAGTTTTGATGCATAGATTAGCCGTTAAATATATCACATCGTTTAAGAAAACTACTTTTCTCAAAAGCAAACTTCAATTTCAAAACATTGTTTACAGACATTAGATTCCTTGATAAACTCATAAATCGTAAAAACATAAACCTCTGTTACGATGAGATTTGATGGTTAGAGTTTATTTATATATCATTTTACAACTTTTCGTGTGTTCAGGCGCAGAGACCATAATCTTGAAACACCGACTTCGGTGGCTTGGACATGTTCTACGAATGTCGTCCCGGAGAATCCCACGTCATGCATTATTTGCCGACGCTAGGACTGGTTAGAAAAAGCGGAGAGGTGGTCCGTGTAAGACATGGTGTCGTGGTATGAAAGATAGCTGCAAAGAGCTGGCTTCTGTTGGTCCTTCTCAACTCCCTGGCTGGGGCCCGAGAGACGATGAAACACAGTGGCTAGAGACGTTATCAAATATAGCTCAGAATAGAAGCCAGTGGCGATCCTGCTGTAACCTTCTTTAACTTTCTTCATAAAAAGTGGTTTTAACTTCCTTAACTGAAAGAATTCTTTCTGGTTGTACCATTCCGTTTCCTCCATTATTATTATTATTACACTACCATAAATTAATCTGTGGTCGTTATTGTTCCTTTTTTTTCTTATAAGCACCTTACATTCTTTTTCTCTTCCCATTCTCATTTTGTGTGGCGCATATATTTCTGGTGACCCCTTGTATCAATATTTATGTGTTCGAATCAATAAATAAATATCACTTATCATTGGTAAACACTTACAAATTAACCGCTAATTTAAACAAACTTGGTGATAATTATTTATTGTTTTGGTTATCGATATAAATAAAGTGATTCGAACATTTAAAAATAAAACACCTGGTGATTTACAGTTAGCGATGATTGTAATGTATACAGACGAAAATCTGTGCAATATCAGAACTGAAACGGAATATGTAATTATTTGAAATACCTCATAAAAATGTTGTAGCATTATGAAAGAAGGAGGAAGATAAGAAAAGAATATAAGTTGGAGAGATATATAAAATAAATCATCTAGTCCCTAAAGCCATTAGGTCTTAACATTTCAAAAACTAAATAGCGCAATTTTTTCCATACAAAAATAAACGATTGACAGTAATGTATTTAGTCAATTACATGCACTTTAGAAAGAGAGTGTGAGAAAGTACAAAATGTTTTGTTAGTGCAAACCAACACATACTCGAAAAACGACTATAATGTACAATATTGTGTGAGTACATTCCACAACAATTATGTGTAAACACCAAAATAGCAGTTCCTGCAAATTACTTATTCCACACTAGTATTTGAGAAGGCAGAAGTAGCAAGATATAAAGAACTAGTTGCCAAATTACTAATTGCTGCTTCCAGAAATATATATATATATATATATATATATATATATAATGATAAAAGTGTCTGGATATCGTCCAAACAACTGGAATATTGATCAGATAAACTAAACAAAGTAAGTCAAACACCGTTAAAAAAGCAGAAGTTAAAGGTGAACTTTGCAAGGATAATTTGGAAGTTACGTAAAAATGGATGAAAACGACTACATTTGTTAAGTCAACTGAAATAATAATGCTTGTATATACAATCCAAAAGACATATTTGGTCCATATTAGTCTGTGGTAACACTTTGATACTTCATAATATATTCTTAAAGTCCGGGAAAACTATTTCTATTTTTTTGACAACTTATTAAGGTTTTTAATCGTAATCATACTTAAAGAGAGTGAGGGAGAAAAAGGATCATTCTTTTAGCGCAACTAGTGCATTTTGAGTCGAAGCTTTTGAAAATAGTCTTTTTTCTCAAATCTAAGCTCAGTTTGCTGGAGAAAAGCCAATTAAAACATTTGCATATACAGATATATTAGATGGATTTATATAATAGCATTACTCAAATCATCCTCCTTCCTAGCATAAGCTTAGCATTTAGCTTTGAGATTCAACTCCTACGTCAATGCTTTAAATTCTATTTGGTCACGTCAACGGATTACATTTTCACTTAGACACTATTACGATGGATTGGTCTATCCGGTTCGAATCCTGTTCCACATTCTTTAGTCGAATCAATAGTGTCTAAACAAAAAATCACGAGTACTTAGGGTAATTATTTCTATTGCTAAATTAAAAGATATAAGTAGTAAAACTTACTTTCATACAGTTTGTACTGTTGAGATGATGACTCAATAATTGTTTTATCATTCAGAATATCATTATTAGCAGTATTATAATTCAAATGTTGATTGGAAGATAATGGTACTGGTGACGAACATGATGCAATACGTGTATGCCAACTTAATGGAAATAAAAAGAGTGGACGTCTAACTATTAACAGTTGGACAAATGCCTCTAATGATGCAGTTTGCACCATTAAAGAATTTGAGGTGGACAAATCGCAAGCATAATGTAAACACATGAAAAATGCTTTTGACCACATCCTATTATCGAAATCTGTATAATCCGTTTTGGGTAATTTTTTTGGAGAATCAATTTTATCTCCTGACGAGAAAGGAATTGAGTCATCTGTAAGAAAGATGGAAGAAAATAGTCTGAATTGAAGACATTCTCTGTATATTGTGCAAATAATAAGGCTCTGTGCTAAAATAGATGGTGAAATTTTTAAAACTTTCTGATGTATGACCAATATATTAAGAAGGGAACTACTATGATTTCTGGGCCGGAATAAACATTTCACTTTGACCGGACATCCAGTGAACTTAGTATATTGTTTTGTCCCCTCAACTAGGTTGGAAAGCCGATTGGCTCACCAGGAAAAGTAGAGCTCCGGTGAGGATCTGTAAGACTATTATACTTATAGAAGCTAATTACACAAGACTTAGGCTGAATAATTTACATTGAGCACAATAGTTTCTCAGTTAAATTTTATAATAAGCCGATCGCACGGGAGAAAACAAACCACACGTTACTAGTTTAGTCCGTAGTACACACAAACATAAATGCGCAACGACGTAAATATACGTTATATGTATACATAGAATATATAATTTGGGGCCTGTGCATTCCATAGTAAACACATAAGTATGGATGAGATTTGATATCGGAGCAAGGGGAATCAAATGAAGTACTTGTCTTCGAATCACTGAATTAAGGTTGTCTATTGAATATTAGCTTCTTCATGTTTATACCACGAACAAGTTTGGTGTCAAACCCTGTGCACTGGTTAGGGTGCAGTTTATGGTCATCGTTCTGGTCGGCAACAGATCGAATGGGACATCGTAGAGATAATCCAGTCAGCCACTAGTTCATTCCTGAGTTATCCATAAATCTTTATTTCGAGCTTTTCAGATAGTCCATAATCATGACATAGTGGTGGACTAAACCGATTTGCATAAGTTCCAAAAGAGCAAGGGTTAACCCGATCCCCACCTAGCCACTGAAGTCTGTTATCTCCGGGAAACCTAAGGCAGGTGTGAGCCGGACTTTGCCTCAGTAAATTGACATTCCAAAATCAATACAACTATCTCCAAATGTATATTGTTTGATGTTGTGGAATGCCTCAAAAAATCGTAAAGTAACTAATCTCTAATATTAATAACCATTTTATACATTTTGAGCAACTTCATAAAAGTTAGTGTACTAGATTATGAGTTACATCTGATGCGTAGCGGATACTATTTGGTTGTCTGCACCTTGATAGGTCGAAAGACATGATCTAATAACCAAAGTGATAAAAGTAATGTAAGCAAAACTAGTCAGCCGATACACAATCACAATCAAATAAATGTATTTATCCTAACCAAAAACTAAACCATTACTGACTATGTATATTTCCTTAACTTCATGGACCTTTGTTAATCGTTGGCATTTGTCATCAATAAATCTGTTGTTCATTGATAAATAGTGAAACTATCATTATCATACCCTGTTATATTTTCGCGCTTACGGTTATAACACAGCTATTCCTATTGCTTAGTATTCACGGACACAGATTCACTCGACAAGGCCCCAAATCAGAACACGATTGAGCAGGAAGGAGATTATATTCCAAATAACAAGGTTAGGTGGAAGCAAGAAGCAAAATAGGAAAACCGTTAGTATATTTATAGCTTTTTACATAAGAAGAATCTAGAAGCTTCTCCATGTGTAGACTAGCGCTGATTGGATAAGAATCAGCCAATCAGCGTGCGCCAATGCAATCGTGCATTGAGCATGCTTAAATCCAATCTATGTCCCACTAACACCTCCCCTTTGAGCAGATTCGTAGGATCTGGTGCTAGGGTCCAACTGCAACCGAGTGACTGGCCTGTGCTTTCGATTTGTCCATCGTCTAGGCAATAAAGAAGTATCACTCTTTGCTTGCACAGAAACTGACCTGTCTGTTCCAGGCGTTTTGATTTCAAAGGTGTCTAGCAGAACATCAAGAGGTAATCGATATTGAACCTCGTTGCTGGCTATCGAAGTTACTTTCAATTGGTTAGCATGACGTACCCAAACTTCTGAGCCAACTGACACCTCATAAACCACACTCCCCTTCTTTTTCAAGATCCGACCAGCTGTCCATGTAGGATGTTTCTCACGATAGTCCATAGCAAGTACTTTTTGTCCCACCGTGAACAATCGTTTTTGTGCCCCATGATGTCGATTGAACTGATTCTCCATAGATAGGTTTCGTTGAGGCTCAAGAGCTGGCGTAGGACGGATGACATCAAAATGTGTTCGTATTTTTCTGCCAAGTAGAGCTTCTGCTGGAGAGACCCCCTTAATCATCTGAGGGTTCGGTGTCGAGCGATAAATAAGCAGGAACCTCTCTAAGATCTCTTCGGTGGTCCCCTCCCCTTTAGATTTTTTTAAAGCATTCTTAAATGTACTCACAAAGCGTTCCACTTGACCATTTGATTGGGGATGGAATGGAGGTGTTCGGACGTAATGGATTCCGTTCTGCCGACAAAATTGTGAGAAAATTACGGACGTTAACTGTGTTCCATTGTCACTAACTATCAATTCCGGGACTCCGAAACGACTGAATAGTTGACGTAGCTTACTGACTGTGCAGCTTGCAGTCGGGTGTTCCATGAGAAAGATTTCTGGCCACTTGCTATATGCATCAACTACCAAAAGGTAAGTTTGTCCATGAAGTGGACCAGCAAAGTCCAAGTGTATACGCTGCCACGGTGACTGTGGTATTGGCCATGATTGCAGCTCTGCTTTTCGCGGTGCTTTCGTTGCTAATGCACATTTGGTACATGAACGGGATAGCTGCTCCAGTTGAGTGTCTAAATGCGGCCAGTATACATAACTTCGTGCTAATGCTTTCATGCGATTTATTCCAGGATGTCCTGCGTGCAACTGTTCAAGCACTGCTGGTTGTAGCTTCTTTGGGATTATGACACGTTCTGCAAACAGCAGGCAGTCGTCGATGATTGAGAGAGAGTCTACGCTGGTAAAACTGTTGAAGCTCTGTGGAACTGATCTTCGCGGGCCATCCTTCCAGGTGGAACTTTCTAACTTCTTGTAGAATCGGGTCTCGAAGAGTTTCTTCTCTGACTTCATCTGACGACACTGGAGTGTTTCGAATGGCATCTGCCACTATACTTCGTATTTCTGGGTCTACTGCTATGGAGGCAAACTTTCTTTTCAGTTTTTCTAGTAACCTTTCACCTGTCTTCTTTGCAAGTACTGGGGTGTCTAATGATGAACACAATACGTTGCAGACACTGTTAATCGGTACATCCATTATTCCAAGTTTATCTAACATATCTAGACCAAGAAGATCAAGGTTTGGCCGTTCTGTTAGGTAACATATTCCTGTACAGTTAGTTCCATTGAAGGAAAATTCACACTGTAATTCACCAACCAGTTTTAGCACACCACCTGATGCGTTTTTGGCCGTTTTCTTAGATGGCTTCATTGGCGGTTTACCCAGCAAGTTATACGTTTCTCTAGATACTAAGGTGATATCTGATGCCGTGTCAATTTGAAGACGAGCTGATATGCCGTTTATCTGGATGGTAACATACTTTCTCCGAATGTCATAGTTTGTTTGAAAAGCAGCTACCAGAGAAAGAGATTTAAACTCGGCTGATTTCACATGTCGAGAACGTTTATGCTTCTTTTTGGGATGAGACGTACGATTCGGTGGACAATAACCTTCTTTATGTCCACGTTTGCTGCACACCTGACATATATGCTTTTTAAATGGACAGAATCGTACATAATGCCAATCACCACATAACCAGCATGCAGTCGTTGGTTTATTACGAGTTGTTATCGGCTTCTTAACTTTTAATCTAGTAATAGCATTGACACTACTGCACGTTAAATTAGGATTTACCTGTTCAATCAACTTGTTGTCGTGTCTGATGCTTTGTAGCCGCTTACACTCATCTGTTAACGTTCTGAGTGTGACGTTTGGGTCTTGATCTAGTCGAGCCAAAAGTCTAGTCCCGATATCAGCATCTTGTGGTGACTGAAGAGCTTTGATGAATATCAGGCATTTAAATTGGTCTTCTGTCAACGAGCGTAACTTGAACCGTTCACATTCTCTGTTGACGATGTCTGCTAAAACACCATATTCATCGGCTTCACGTTTCACCAAATTTAGGCACTGATGTCGAATACTAAACAATGAGGAGGATTCACCGAATATCTCTGACAATTGAATTATCGTCTCCTCGAAACTGAGCTCTCGAGGTAACTTAGGCAATATATGGTCAGCATAGCATGCATGTTCATTAATTCCTAACTTACGTACCAACAGTCGAGTCTTCCACGCGTCGTCTTGGTTACAGAATTCTATTCTAAATGTATCTTCCCAACGTTTGAACCACGTGAGAAAAGTATTTCCGCTTTCGGGATCATAGATGAATTCTGGTATGCTGCTAGCAACTGCATCACAAGACGTACTTGAAATGGCATGTGAACTCGAGCAGTGGAAGCTAAGCTGTTGAGTCAGAGTCTCTAACAACCGCATTTGTGCATCTAATTGTTGTTGCTGTTGTTGTAGTATTCGGTTAAGCTGGTCGTCTGATGTGGACATATTGAATTTATTTCCCTTTTTCCTCATAGCCACTGTTATATTTTCGCGCTTACGGTTATAACACAGCTATTCCTATTGCTTAGTATTCACGGACACAGATTCACTCGACAAGGCCCCAAATCAGAACACGATTGAGCAGGAAGGAGATTATATTCCAAATAACAAGGTTAGGTGGAAGCAAGAAGCAAGAAGCAAAATAGGAAAACCGTTAGTATATTTATAGCTTTTTACATAAGAAGAATCTAGAAGCTTCTCCATGTGTAGACTAGCGCTGATTGGATAAGAATCAGCCAATCAGCGTGCGCCAAAGCAATCGTGCATTGAGCATGCTTAAATCCAATCTATGTCCCACTAACATACACACAGATTATTGGAGCATAATACATAACAGTGTGAAGTAGATTAAGATAATGTTGCCGAGATGTCTACTTCGTTCATTGTAACCTAAGCTACTACTTTTACAACATTAAAAAATAAAAACCTAGTGTGGTGTGTCCTACTTATGTAGACATAAGTAGTATATGACATGAGTCATGAACAGAATGTCTAGCAGCAGAGAGACGAGAACATCGAACAGTAAAGAATGAAGACATAATGCAATTTGTATGAAAATGCAAGAACAAAGGTATTCTGAGTCATTTGAGACAACTGATGAACATTTTGTAAATTGAGCATCTAATATATGGTTGTTAGATCTTACTAACTAGTTCTCTAATTTGTTGTTAAATGCATACGATTGTCCCCATTAGTGTTCTTGTTCACTACACTAGATGGTATTATGATTTTAATTTCCATACAGTTACAGTGTCGTAGTTCAGAACAGCCCGGCGACATAAACAAGATCAAATTCACGAATTTATACTAACCTGGATTAAGCATTTCATGACTTTCTAGATCAACTAATCTAGAATGCAAAGTATTGTAAGAATCTAAATGTACTGATGAAGTTGGGGGTATATTTAAATTTAAAAAAGATATATTCTTCACAAAGTTATTTGAGAATTGATCCCATCCAATAGATAAATAACGAACTGTGTTGAATAAACCTGTCCAATAAGCAATAGAATTAAAAGGTGTTGATGATTTATCACATTGAACTTTTGTTGGTTCTAACTGGGAATCACTAATGAGTGAGTCCATTTCAGCTAAAATATAAAAACACATAAACTCATTTTCTTCTTTAAAAAAATGCGCATCAATTTGTATAAAATTAGTGAAAATAAATTCATTTACAATATATAAACCATCTAAAAGAGTAAAAATACTGATTTCTATGCCAAAAGAATTGCTGTCATTAAAAAAGTTATCACATATAATAAGTGATGGAGATTGTTCAGAATAATTCATGATAGCAAAATAGATTTTTGTTCATCGAAATGAATGTAACTTTAATGTCTATAAAACAATAACTGCTGACTTGGAATACATGTAATTATTTTCAGAAAACTGTCATAGTGAGGAGACAACTTGTAAATTCATAAAATAAATGTTAATTTTCGCAAATCACTTCCTCATATGTTCTGTATAAATTTCTGCAGTATGACATAAGCCAATATTTTAAAAGTAACTGCCTGCAGACATACACCTACGAAAATAAAAATGAAATATATGAGGTACGAAGACTCTAACATTTGGTTTGTCATATAGTGCTAGGATGTCATCCCAACTCTTAAAGGGATTGTTAAATTTTGTTTGATCCAGATAGACCGTGGTATTTTATTGAAGGGTATTCTTTCCCTAACTGTATGTATTTAAGTAATTGTTCGCTAATCATAAAGCACAAAACGTTGTGGTTCAGTGAAGTACAAAAGTTGTAATTATAATTTATCCTTTTGCAAGTTCAAGCCTTTTAGAAAGTTGATGACAGTTGAGACATCTATAGCAAGCTTCTTGCTACTAATTGAAGTCAGTAGCCAGTTGCAGGTAACAGATCTATCTTCGTTGCATATTTTAACAACTATTTCTCACAATTCACAAATAACTTTTGTGAAGTTTTCAATATGGTGAACTAAATGGCATCATTGTATTGATAGATGTAGAAAAAGAACATGAAGATATCAAAAAGATCTTGTTTTTCAAGGATATCATTCGAGGTTAGACGATTGAATTTTAAGGTAAATAAGCAACAAGTTTTAGATATAAATCAGTTGCAACATTAACCGCAACAACTTTATTTATATCTAATGATACAAACATAAAATGTTTTGTTGTGATTGGTATTTCAGTACTATGTACTTGTTTATTGATTCTTCTATTAACATTTCATGTGTGCTATTGTCCCAATTTTTCACTATACTGATTATATGACTTTGTGACAAGGTCTATATGTTGGTTTACTGTTTTTTTTGTTTATATCAAAAAAAGATTATGTTTTTTTCAGAGTTAACGTTTTGGGATATTTTGCTTCAGCTAGTAATTTCAATGCCTCATCATTTCCATACTTCTAGTTGGCCTTCTGTTTTCCAGACGTAAATGAGATTTATAGAAAGTATTTATTACTGATTAGAAACATTATCCAGTCATGAATACTGTAGCTGCTACCTTGACGTGATGGTCGGGCTTGCCTATCGTGATGACCCAACCGAGCTATATTGGCTGGAACACATGTTCCTGCAGGTTCTACCATGCCAGGTAGGTCGATTGGAGAACGGTAAGACTAAAAGCAGCAACTCAAGGTCTGAGGGCGAAGTCGTACTGCTGACTGTACAGAGGTGTGACAACAGTAAGGTGTTTCCCTCGGACAACCAGCATCTGCAGCGATGCTGCCTTCTCACAAGGAAGGAAGGGGTTAGAAAAGGTTGACCCTAAAAATGTCACACCTCACCTTACCCCACGGATTTCCGTCTCCGGCGGTAAGGCCCTTTCAAGAACGGAGCTAACACATTAAAAACCTCACACAAAAAGGCCGTGCGCGACCGGCCTCAAGCAGTTGTCCCTTGGGCTCTGCGGTCACGCACTCAGGTCGCTAAGACCAACACTAATCCGATTTCCTTTTCAGGTTCCTCAAGAAATACCCTTCCACGGTGTGGGCAACCGGGAAGTGATATCAGCCCTCATACCCGTAACATGAATACTGTAAACTCTGACATAAATATTTAACAACTGAAAATTTTACACTTTACACGGTTGTGGAAAACTAAAAACTTTCAATTGAATGAATGAATTAAGGGAATGTAAAGTATGAAACGATATTATGCTTAGATTAAAGATTGAAGAATGAATGGAACTATCATTTCAATCGATTTTAGGCTGTCATATAAGGTCTTGGATTGTAGGCTACGGTTAACATGAAGACAAATCCCAAGAAGTTAGCATCTTCCGATAAGGCTTCTTTTAGCCATTCCTAGACTTTTGAAGTCAAAAGACTACATTGGATTTTCAGAATATTTATCGATGAGAATATATAAATGAGTGGTTCTACATCAAATAATAATTAGTTGGTGCTAAATTCACGTTCAAGGTGATGAACTCAACAACAACAGTTGATCCCTAATCCATTCAGGCACAAAGATGACCGATTCAGTATGGGTGGACAGATAATAAGAAAACCAATACAATACAAGGGAATGAAAACTAGTTACTCACAAGTAATATAGTGGAAGTATAGTATACTGAAAGCCATTTAGAATTGAGACAAGGCCTAATGTATTTTGCGCGAAACTTGAACTGCAGTCATAGATAATGCGTATGTTATTATCAACGAAATGAAAACTCGCAATATTTCGTTCTTAAAATGCTTGAAACCAATAAAAAGTATTTTATCCAATCAAAAAGTGAATTTAAGATGGTGCTTGAGCTAAAATACAAAACATACGTGCTCCTAAGGCAGACTGTGCTATTGTAGTTGGTTTGTATCAACGTGTAGACAAGAGTGCTTGGTGAAGCTAGATAGTTTTTCCCCACACTAACTCTTACTCTCTCAACCCTAAGGTTCTTAAACTTATGAACAGAAGGGTTGAGAAACATTGAACTAGAGCTAATGTTAGTTCGTGATGAAAACCCTAACCCTAATTTGTAAATCTAACTCAAAACTCCAGCTTAACGCTTATTAACTATCCCTAACCCTTTTAAATTATAACCGATGTTATGTGGTGATGACAACTCTATGGGGTGATAACCCTAATTCGGAATACGTTCCCGACTCCTAACACGTAAACTTGACCTTTTCCTTTACTGTAAAGCATAATTCGACATGTAAGGGTAGATTATTCAGATCAAAGCTATTATTCCACTATTATCTTATTGCTTCTGGCAGTGAATTATTTTATAATTAGGCAGCGTTTTCCCATTGGCCGATAAATCGCTCAGGATTGTCAGTGTAGTATACTTTTACCAGTAATATAGTTGTAATATACAAATCTTATAGATACCTGAAGACCCATAACCTCATCAATAAATTGACGATATTTACGTACCCCTCTAAGCTTAACCGCAGTACTATCTACTTGGTAATTTTACATTATAAAAGGATGCAAAATTGATGAATATAATGATAAAAAACAAATGATAGCTATCACTGTTACCACTAGTAGACTTACTTAATATTAGGTGAAGTAGGTAACGTAATAGAGTGAGTGGTATACGAGATGACTGACAAGTGATTACAAGCGATTGGGCTACTGAACGGCGTACTACTGCCTTGCCCGATGACAACCGTGTAAATTGTGTACGTAAAAACTATTGGGCAGAATAGGAAAGGATAGAGTGACAAGGGGTAGTTAAAATTAAATAATCCATAAACCATAATAACAAACTAAAGAGCATACGAAACAAACGGAAGTGGCCAACTTTATCCGTTAAAATAGTGGTTAAATTTGGCGCCGACGAAAACCGTAAACTTCATAGAAATTTTACTATATAGTTAAAATTAATGTCAGATTACTTGTCTAGACTATCCAAGAGCTAACTGAATGATATCCATGTAGGTATGATGCAGATTTATTGTCATTTCTTGTCAATATAATCTTAATGCTTTGCACTATTGTGGATTGAGTTCACGTTCTGTTTTTCTGAATTACGAGCCATTGTAAGGTTCTCAAACGAAGAAATATATACGAACTGCATAGATGGGACAGTTAATACATAACACTTTGATGATAAACCTCCACAAGATCGGAAGAGAATTGTAGAGAAGACGTATTGATGAAGACAGCAGAACGAGTAAACTACATTCAAGTTAGTATAATTATACATCAAATATATGATTATTATTGAGTATGTTAATACGAGTAAAAATTCATTGAAAACCAATGAACGAAAATCAGCCTGAATCAATTAATACTGAAAATTAATGAACGAAATCCATCGTCAATTAACAAATAAATCTTAACATTGATTTCTTCTGAATGTTGTATTTAGGGACCCAGTATTCCCTCACATCAATTAGTAGCAATGTACTCCTGGATCTATCTGCGATTGTACTGTCTTCCTTTGGTGTCGGCTGAATTAGTTCCTTGCCCGAAAAACTAATATAGGCGTAGTAATTGTTTAGCTCTCTCCATGCGTTCGGTAACTGAAATTGTCAGGTGATGTATCCAAAGGTAGTAGCTGGATCAGAAGCATTTCTCTTACGTAGTTGGTTAAAATATCTAGTTCATTTGTCTCTTCCTACTGTCGCATCATAACATACCTCTTCTTGTTTTCTTGTTATGCCGTTCCATCCACCGATCATGATTAGGCCGGTAATCACGGGCAAACACTGTTGTCCTAACTTGGAATCCAGGGGGTTTTGCTTTACCTTCGGGGAATCTCTTCCATAGTATGGCATGGCAAGTCATTTTAAGCTTTTGCAACGTCAGTGCTCTCACTAAAGATAACTTTTCAGGGGTTGTTTTATTGGGTGTGGTGATACAATATAAATAGGACATTTCGTAGACTTTCGGTAGTCTCCTTCCGCTGTGACTTTAGAAATGGCAACTTGATGGTATCGATGGAACATTCAGTTTATCCATTCGATTATCGTTTGGTGGTGAACATACATGGCTTATTGTAAGATAGTAGTAGGACTCTGGGTTTTCCCAATGTGAACTGATACTGTAATGAACAGGAACACGAGTGGGGACAATCGAATGTATTTGACACGAAATTACAGAGCATTTCAATAAAATCTGAGAACCATATAGTAAATAGTTAATTTGCAAAATATCAATCCATCACCTCAAAATTTCACTGTTCCTTTTGCAAATGTCAGTTCATTGTCTCAGATTTCATTGTTCATGCATTTTCATACCGATTGCGTTCTGTTTCCGTTTTTTCATTATCGATCTTCTGCTGAAATACATTCTATGCCTGACCACAGTTATATACTACTTACATGGCCCCCAAATGCACTGGTACGGCCGAGAATGGGGAGAGTCCGCTCTCCCTCTCGAAATGCTCTCACATGGCCATGCGTATATAGCCTCTGCCAGGGAAGTCCTACTCACTGCCTTCTCGTGGTGGGGGTGTTGTTTACAAAAATGAGAGGACGAAAAGCGAATGTCTGGCGCTATAACCGGACCCCAAACCAATGGTGCACATGGGCTCCAGTATCCTGAAGGAACAAATGGCGTATGAACCAATCGTTGGTCACCGGCTACCATGGGACTGCATCTCCTCACGATGCTCCACTGCCTTGTGGGTCAGACGTTCAGGTCAAAGGCTCGGGGTGTGGCCCCCTAAGAAAACCATCTGCTTCGGTTTGGGCACCCGGGCAGTATCACAGCCCTCACACAAATCAATTGAGATTTGTGTGGCGCATATGTATTTGGTGCCTCCCTGTACCTGTACTTATGTGTTAAAATAAATAAATAAATAATAATACTACTTACATGGATATAAGTAACCCACACCACAATACATCGGGTATTTGCAGAAATCAGTCAAGTAGTTTTTCATGATTTCGGCAAGAATTCGTAGATAACCCTTACGAATCTTTTCGTTAGTAAATATTATCAGTCGAACACATGGTCTTCTTGGATTTAGTATTGATATTCGCATTAACCTATCCACCTGTTAAGACACGCATATTCTAGTTATTACATGGTATCTATTTGTTTATTAATGGTCATGCGGTTAGAATGCAGTTCGACTGACTTACTAATCAAGAATACCATATGCGAACGGTTCAGCTTTACTTGACAATGAGTAAACTAAGGTAGGTTAGGTCTAATAGTTTACAAGATTATTCATCATATAAACTTCATATGGATTTAAATAAATAAATAATATATCTGTAATATCCCAATGAGTAGAAAAATTAGATTTGTTTATTCAACAATCTGTTCACTGTCATCAACATTGCATTTTTCTGACAAAATAAAATATCACCTCAATCAACAATGAGGTTCTACTTAACACACTATACGACAGATATGAAATTTGGATGTACACTTCAGTACTTTAAAGTAAAATTTAAAGACGATAAATCTAAGGTTCGTGAAATGTGATAACTATTATATAAATGCTGTTATAATTAAATGCTTATTTCTCTTGTCAATTCATATACTCTAGATTTAACTGGCCTTTATTATGAACGTAAATACTTTATCTGTTGAAGCCTGATGATCTGTACAAGAAACTTTTTCGATAGGATGGTGGTCGGAGGTAGTTAACATGAAACCCTGGACCTAGGTTTTGTGCTACTTGACAATCGTCAGCAAGGTGTGTCTGTAATCTTGCGGGAACTTGTGCTCCTTGGTGGATTCGATCCCGCGTCATCCGGCTTCACAGTCGGAGGCGTTACCACTGAGCTATCCGCGCCACGACTGACTCCCTGGAGGACTGAGATGTATTTACAACCAATCAATCACTGGGTCGTGATTGAATCCGTGAGGGAGCATCAGTTCCCTCAAGATTACAGTTACAGCTTGCTGACGAGTGCCAAGTAGTACGAAACCTAAGTCCAGGGTTTTCTGTTGACTACCTTTAGCCACCATCTTATCTCAACATAGTGCACGCAATGTTGAGTCACCTAGACTGGTGGCCACATTGCAACTTGGTCGATAGGATCCAATCTGCACTAAGAAGTGCCTGACATATATGACATTGATCACCACCCAGTGATCAATCAATTGTAAAAAACTTGTTTATATGATTGCTGAGTTGCACTGAGCAATAAACAAACGGCCCAAGAAAAATGGGGGAATAATCACAAAGGATATGATAGGTAATACTTACGCTGCGTAATTCTTTTTCAGTTGCATAACAAAATAATTCTTTTGCGATTTGTTGAAAAGAATCCGTTAGGTTTTCAAATAATAAATCATCTTCTTGTTCAAAGATTGATAAGAGAACAGGTAGTAAATTGGTTGCATAAAACCTGTAAGCCATTATTAGTGCAAATGCAGTGAAATGTACAGCTCACAAGTAATATTCATCGAGTTTTAGACCGTTATATAAAAAAAACACCTTAATTACAATCAGACGTACCTAGCATTAAAATCTAGGATATACTTTTCACTTTGTCACCTGTGTCTGTACTTACATCTCATTGTTTTGGTATTTCCGTTAAGAAATGAATGTAGAATTGTTCGCCAGGCCAATGAATCGTGATAGAAATCTCTTGTTCTAAGAGTAATAATTATTATTAAAATTAGATATCGTCTGTTAGTAATCTATAAAACTTTACTGATGGATTCCAGTGAAGTGACAAATAGCGGTCTCATATTGGAAATGATGGGTACTGAATCTAAATCTTAATGTGAACATCCATACTTGGATGTAGGGACATTCGATTGACAACTCATAATATTTGCCAATGTCAAATATAATCGAGATATAGTCAAAGACAGTATTCGTAGCGTTCACAAGCTAACAGAAACTGATTAATTAATACACGTAGAGTTGTACTAAGGGTAAAGAAATAAAAAATTAAGTGTTAATTATCCCTACCACAGAAGATGTAAAACCTGGTGAAACAGTGTATTTAGCTGAATCATTAACAAACATATAAAGCCTCCGAATGCCCTGGTACGGCTGAGAGTGGGGAGAGTCAGCTCTCCCTCTCGAAATGGTCTCACATGGCCACGTGCATACAACCGCTGCTAAGGAAGTCTTACTCACTGCCTTCTCGATACATTACTGTTATTTACGAAATTGAGAGGACGAAAAGCGAATGTCCGGTTCTTTAACCGGATCGATAGATACGGATGATCCACCTAGGAGAGTTGGAAAACCATCATTCCAAACCAATGGTGTACATGGGCTTCAGTATCCTGAAGAAACAAATGGAGTATGAACCAATCGTTGGTCACCGACTACCATGGAACTGTATCTCCTGACGCTGCTACACTACCTTGTGGATCAGACCTTTAGGTCAAAGGCTCCGGGTGTGGTTCCCTAAGAAAAACACCTACTTCGGTTTGGGCACCCGGGCAGTATCCCGGCCCTCACACAAATCGAATGATTTATGTGGGGCATATCTAGTTGGTGCCTCCTTGTACCAATGTTTATGTGTTTAAATAAATAAATAAGAGATGATAAAACAGACAAAGATGGGGTATAAAAAGGTGTAAGGTAATTTGACTCTTGAATTCCATAAAAATAAATGCACTCATGCCATTATAAAAAAAGTCCAGCAATATTTTGCAATAGGTATTAATTTATTAGCTAGCGACTTTATGGGTCGGCAACATATTTCTATCTATCCTCAATTTTTTCATAGCTTAACACTATTACAGCCCGCACTACAGCTCGAAATAGAGGGTTGGTTCGGCATATGAACCAATGTACGAAATACCTTGGTCGATGGAGACTCATTTTATCAAATCAATTCGTTCCTTCGTCAAGAATTCTGTATGTAGCTCCAAAACTTTTAAATAGCTTTAACTATGCCCAACGTGCCTCAAAGACATCTGAAGTCAAGTGTTCATAGCTTCTCAATGATGTCTTCTATTTGTAGAGGAATACAGCATATTCCAGGGAAGTATAGTGGATTTTCGATAGTCATTCTTGCATGCTTTAGGCACCTTAGATGATGTTGATTGAGAAATATTAAAAGCATCAATATCCGCACCAGGATTTCGCTGTCCGTTAGCTGACTAGCGTTGATGAGATTTTGTTCATAAAAATCAGCTTCATATTCATCATGCTGTAGTATTAATGCAGACGGATAGTCGTACAATAAATGTGTTTAGAATTAAAACACGAAGTTCAGCGAAGGGATCTCTTTTCAACGAATTTATTATCAAGCTGTACAATCGTATATATATATATATATATATATATATATATATATATATATATATATATATATATATATATAATTTTGTAAAAGTACTAATTCCGTGAGGAAATGTGAACACAGTTAACCATGACATAATAAAAAGGGGTTATAATACTAGATTACGTAATACGAATAATAACAATAGATTTAGTGAATATAATACGATGATTAAAATGTTTTTATTATAATACTTAAAGGTCATAGAGGTGTGAAAAATAAATAAATAAGGTAATATGATGAGTATTTACGAATAAAAACAATGAGAATATAAGACATAAGTAAAGGGGGGAATGCAACATTAATAATAATAATAATAGAATAATCAAAATAATTAAGGCCAAGGTAACGATAGCGATAAGACGTACTTCTTTTGTACGCATAGTTCTGGTTTAAGCTCCTGAATGGTAAGAGCTTCGGCTATTTTTAAGAGTTGGATACGAAGAAATCTAGGTAGATTTGGACGAATCATATAAACAACCTTAAAATCAATTTGTGGATCTGTAGAATGGTTACAGTCGATAAGGTGTTCAAGTATAGAACTCCTAACTGCTTTCCTTTCACCCTTATAGAACCAAGCTGGAATATGTTCCCGTATCCGAGTTGAAAGCGAGCGCTGGCTACGGCCAATGTACCTTGCTCCACAAGAGCAGGTGAACTGATAGATGCACATAGAGGCGACCAGACGCGGAAGCTTATCTTTTATGGATACAGAAAATAAGTTCCTACTAGTGAATGTTATTCGCAGTTCAGCTGCATTAAATGTTCTTCTAATCGTTGTTGTTAGACGATTTTTGATCACATCTGATGTTCGATCACCTTTAAATTCCAGACTTATGTAAAGGTTTTTCTTCGGAACGGAAGAACTAGATTTCTTGTCGTAATTACTTCTATTCAGATTCTTTTCTATGAACCGTTCTGAGTAGCCATTTTCCTTCAAGGTTTTCTTGAGGAATGCGAGTTCTTCGTTAATGCATTCCGTACTGCATATCTGGTGTATTCGATAACATAAAGAATGGATAAGATTTCTCTTTCTACTTAACGGGACCCAGCTATAGAAGTTTGTTAGCTGGCAATTCCATGTTTGTTTTCTAAAGACCGATCTTTTTAAAGAACCATTACTCCTTCTCATCAGACGTACATCGAGAAAAGGAATTGATTGGTCTCGTTCCCTTTCTAACGTGAAGTCTATGGATGGGTGGCATGAGTTAAAAGTGTGTAAAATATCATCTAGATCAATATTATTGTCACAAACGATAAACGTGTCGTCCATGTATCTCACGTATAGGTGAAATCGATTGATCATTGAACGGAGTTGGTCGTTTTCTACTTTTGCCATGAAACAGTCTGCTAAAATTGGACCCAATGGAGACCCCATTGCGATCCCATCCCTTTGTCTATATATTTCATTATTGAAACTGAATTGGACATTAAAAGTACAGCGTAACAATAGTTCTTTCAAGTGTTCAGTCGGTAAACCTAGATCTATGTTGTTAGCATCTATATACTCACATATATAGCATATCGTTTCGGTTAAAGGTACGCTAGTGAACAAAGAGTTAACGTCAAGCGAGAACATGTGTTTTCCGGAAGTATTAATGTCCTTAATACGATCAATAAATTGAAAAGTATCATGAATAGAATATTTAGATACTTGCCTTCTAACCGGTTCCAATTTTTCCGCTAACCATTTGGCGATTCGGTGGTATGGTGAACTCGACATGTCCAAAATAGGTCGTAATGGTAAACCCGGCTTATGTACTTTAGGTAGTCCATATAAGCGCGGGATGATTGAACTCATGGGACGTATGTGATTATATAGATCTTGGGTTATTATCCCTTTATTCTTAAGATTTTTAACAACATCTGTTAGCTGTTTTTCGATTTGCAATGTTTTATCGACTTCTCCTTTAGGTTTGGAGAATTTAGTACCATCCTCTAGAATTAACTTCATTTTATCCAAATATTCTTGGCGGTCAAGTAGTACTACACCAGCTCCCTTGTCAGGTTTACTTAGGATTAAATCCTTATTTCTTTTCAGGAGTATTAGCTGATCCAAGTGGTTCTTAGTTAATAGGTTATTCTTACTGCATTGTGCATTAACGTATCCATGACTGCAGTCCAGTAATGTGGATTTAAAGTGCTGAAGATTTTGTGGGGATGTCGGCATAAGATCATGAGTTTGATTTGATAGATTTTCGAATTGTATTTGAGTATGAAGTCTACTGGTTTTGGAGGTGCTGTTACAGAACTTGGGACCCAATGATAAGGCCTGTATTTGGACTGCATCTATGTGCATCTATCAGTTCACCTGCTCTTGTGGAGCAAGGTACATTGGCCGTAGCCAGCGCTCGCTTTCAACTCGGATACGGGAACATATTCCAGCTTGGTTCTATAAGGGTGAAAGGAAAGCAGTTAGGAGTTCTATACTTGAACACCTTATCGACTGTAACCATTCTACAGATCCACAAATTGATTTTAAGGTTGTTTATATGATTCGTCCAAATCTACCTAGATTTCTTCGTATCCAACTCTTAAAAATAGCCGAAGCTCTTACCATTCAGGAGCTTAAACCAGAACTATGCGTACAAAAGAAGTACGTCTTATCGCTATCGTTACCTTGGCCTTAATTATTTTGATTATTCTATTATTATTATTATTAATGTTGCATTCCCCCCTTTACTTATGTCTTATATTCTCATTGTTTTTATTCGTAAATACTCATCATATTACCTTATTTATTTATTTTTCACACCTCTATGACCTTTAAGTATTATAATAAAAACATTTTAATCATCGTATTATATTCACTAAATCTATTGTTATTATTCGTATTACGTAATCTAGTATTATAACCCCTTTTTATTATGTCATGGTTAACTGTGTTCACATTTCCTCACGGAATTAGTACTTTTACAAAATTTTATATATATATATATATATATATATATATATATATATATATATATATATATATATATATATATATATATATATATATATATATATATATACGATTGTACAGCTTGATAATAAATTCGTTGAAAAGAGATCCCTTCGCTGAACTTCGTGTTTTAATTTTAATGTTTAAATGGGAATTATCTGTCAAATGTGTTTAGAACAAGCCATTGACGAGGCAAAATTTCTTAAGGCAATTAAACTTGAGAAAGTTGTTTCGTACTTCTAAGTCATATGTAATCGAAAGGACTAACCTGCGTTTAGATGTTCTAATTTGTGTAGACAATGAAGCAAATTTCGACAGTGCAACTGATACGGATCTTGAGTTTTGATTACGCTTTAGCTCCATGAGCAGTTCGAACAAAATTAAACGTGTCATACTTGAACGAAGGAACTGAAATTAAACAAAGCATATAGTCTCAAGAAATTAAATTATACGATGCTCGTAATTTCAAAAACAACTCTTCAGAAAATGAAATGAACACACAAAATTGTGGTTTCTATAGTTTAGATACGTATTTTGACAAATAAACTGACTTTAATGAAGGCTACTGCCGAGTATGCTAAAGAGGAATGTGTATGAAAAATAAGTTTAGAAGCAATGAATCATGCTATGAAAATAGGTGGTCAGCGTATTAGCACATAATAGGAGGTTCAGTCAGTAACAACGTGGAACTTCGTACGTACGTACATCAGTTCGAGTTGCCACACCACATTAGCACAGAGATTCAGTTATCGATTCAAATCCCGTAGTGGTAGAGGTAGTGAAAGTATAAGTAGTGATAGGGAACATTAGGGTTTGATGATGTTATTTAAGGAGTATAGTCCAGTGGAATAGATTCGGAAAGAAAATAAAGGACATGAAGAATTCAGAAGATTAGAGTTTGAGAGAACACAAAGAGTGGATGCACCTGCGCCATTGCAAACGATTATGAGCCAACCTATTCCTACAACATAAAACATCGCGAGTCAGGGCAGTCGGTAGTCAGTCATGCGCAACACATGTCCCAGCCACCTCAAGTAATTAAGTTTCACTATTTCATCAATTGATTTGCCATCCTTACCTAGTACCCGTTTTCTAACAACTGCATTACTTACTCGGTGGTCCCAGGATATACGAGCAATGTTTCGAAGACACCTATGATCAAATACTAGTAACCTACGAATATCCTCTACTATTACCGGCCATGTTTCACTGCCATAAAGTAGGACGGAACGAACTGCTGTGCAGTAAACACGTCCTTTGGTTGATAGACGGATATCTCGCCTACGCTATAAATGACACAAATTGGCAAAAGCTAGTCGAGCCTTCTGTATCTGTGCTGGGATTTCGTGACACACCAGACCACAAGGGCTGATGAGACTCCCAAGATAAGTGAAGCGGTCGACACGCTCAACTACTTCACTCCCTATCACTAGTTCGGGTGTCAATGCAACCCAATCCTGAAGCAACATTTTGCATTTCGAGGGAGAGAATCGCATCCCGAACATGCCTGCATTGTTGCTTAGAGTGGTCAGCAGACTCTGCATTTTGTCAGCGTCCCCACTAAATAGAACTATGTCATCGGCATACTTTAAGTCAATAAGTGAATTTCCCGGTAGAAGTTCAAGCCCTGGAAAGTCAGATGTGGAAAGAGTTATCTCTAAAAGCACGTCAATGACAAAGTTAAACAAGAATGGAGAGAGCGGACGGCCCTGACGAACACCACTTGAGGTAATCAGTTCTGATGACAGTTCGCCATAAGCTTTCACTCGACCAGTTGTGTTCGAGTAGAGAGCCTTTATAAGGTTAATGTACTTCTTTGGTACTCCTTTCAGAGACAAACACTGCCATAGGACCTCACGATCAACAGGGTCGAATGCCGCCTTAAGGTCGAGAAATACGACTATTGTGGGGCGTCTGAATGTGTGTCTATGTTTTAGGACCTGACGTAGTGTGAATATCTGATCTATACAACCACGTCCAGGTCGAAAACCAGCCTGGTTTTCTCTAGTCTGCTCTTCACGAGCTTTAGTTAGGCGTCGAAGTATTATTGAAGCTAATATTTTAGACACTATATTAGTCAAACTAATACCTCTGTGATTGTCACAAGAAGACTTTTGTCCTCTTATAGACTGGCACAATCAGTGATTGAGACCAGTCAGATGGGATTACGTCCAGTTCCCAGATTCTACCTAAGACCTCAGTCAATCTCGCTGCTAATACTGGACCGCCATTCTTAAAAATCTCTGGGGTAAACCTGTCAGGGCCTGCTGCTCTCCCACGCTTCAGATTTCCTATAGCTTTTTCAACTTCGTAAAGAGTCGGAGGATTCACACTAACTTGCCATTCAGGTAGATTGGAGATCGTGGGAAACCAAAGTGTGGCTGAAGGCCAGTTCAACTGATCCCTAAAGTGTTCTGCCCATCGATCCAATCTCCTGGATTGAGAATGAATAATATGTCCATCTTTCGCTGCGATTGTTTCGCTAACAGTTGTGTTCCTAATACCGGTTTCCTTAACAAGTCTGAACAGTTGCTTGCTGTTACCTATTGCCGCTGCCTTTTCCATCTCTCTTGCTTTCGCTACCCACCACTGTTCACGATCATTGCGTAGGCATCTAGTCAGCTTACGCTTAAGCTGACTCCGCTCTTCGTTATGTTTAGAGCCAGATGGAATGAGTTTACGAGCATCTATCAGTGGGGTAGACGCTGCTGAGGTCCAGTGTTTATCCCTAACCTTATGATTTACCGTACTTGCAGACATCACTGCTGTTTCTACAGCTTTCTGGATAACATTTCATGTTGCCTAAGGGTGGGCATCACTTACATGGCTGCCTAACTGTTTTTCTAGTTGTTCCTGAAATATACTCTTAGTTTGACTATCATTAAGTAGTACCCTAAGGGGTTTCCTTGTACCGTCTTTCCTACGTCGAGTAAGACGTAGACAAAAACGCGCTCGCAACAGAGCATGATCTGAGTCTAAGCAAGTGCCCCAGAATGAGCGACAGTCTTCTATCGAGCCCCTCCATCGGTGGCTGATAGCGATGTGATGTTTTTCCTTATTCTTAAAGTTTGTGTTTGCAAGAAACAGGCGGTTATCTGAGCATAGCTGCAACAGACGGTCGCCGTTATCTGTTCTACTGGGACCCAGTCTAAGAGAGCTAGTTCTGCCCTAGGACTCAATGCTATACCTACGCCAGCGAGGCCACGGGAAGCAGCGTCAGGGCTTCCAGATACACGAAGCGTAAATTGGATTGGTTCGTTACTTTGATATGGTGAGGTCAAATGAATGACACTACTCGGATCCTGTGTGCGCGTTTCGGAGACGCAGCACACATCGATGGAGCGAGATTCTAACACTTTAAAAAATATCAACAGAAAGGATGGACTGATTTTATTTCACTTTCTCAGTCACTCCAGTAAGGGATGCCGTTGAGCGTGGCATGGTGATTACAGTACTTTGAACCAACAGGCCTTAGGTTCGAACCCTTTCATCGGCTTCAGTTTGGGAAGTCAGATAATATTACTTTCCCACAGATAAGTATATGAATGCGTACTTGTGTAGATTTTACTGGTTTTGAACAAACGAAATTTATGTTTGCAAATGAAAATTTTACCATTAACCCACTGCGATGATGTTCGTCGAGATTTATTCAGTTTCGAAAACCGCGACATCCTTCACTGATACTATCATTTGCTTGCCGTTTATTTATTTATTTTAACACATAAGTATAGGTACAGGGAGGCACCAAATACATATGCGCCACACGAATCTCAATTGATTTGTGTGAGGGCTGTGATACTGCCCGGGTGCCCAAACCGAAGCAGGTGGTGGTTGTCTTAGGGGGCCACACCCCGAGCCTTCGACCTGGACGTCTGACCCACAAGGCAGTGGAGCATCGTGAGGAGATGCAGTCCCATGGTAGCCGGTGACCAACGATTGGTTCATACGCCATTTGTTCCTTCAGGATACTGGAGCCCATGTGCACCAATGGTTTGGGGTCCGGTTATAGCGCCAGACATTCGCTTTTCGTCCTCTCATTTTTGTTAACAACACCCCCACCACGAGAAGGCAGTGAGTAGGACTTCCCTGGCAGAGGCTATATACGCATGGCCATGTGAGAGCATTTCGAGAGGGAGAGCGGACTCTCCCCACTCTCGGCCGTACCAGGGCATTTGGGGGCCGTAGCTTAACTTTCCCAAAAGTTACAGGACGAGTAATTACGACATACGTCCAAGAGATAAATTTTGAACCAGTGAAGTTTCGTGAGATGTGGAATCAAATAACAGAAGTGCATACGTATGTAGGTTAAAACTACCATAAAATTGCGTTTACAAAAAGTCTCTTAGTTTGGTACAGGATCATGTGGAACTGCGAAGTTCTTTATCTAACTACTTGACATAGGTTCCAAGTGTGCAAAGTGCTTGCAGGGACAAGAAGCAGAAATGTCAGTGGTGGTTGGTCAATTTGGTTGAACAAATCAACAGCAGATAGGTACCTTATTTTTATTTTGTTTAATAACAAACTTGGTACAACATAGCTATCAATATAAATCTGTACAATGAGTTGTTGAGATTCAGTGACACAGTAATCAACGCCTTGATCCCTGGAAAGATAGATTCTAGGTTCGTTTATCGATGGAGATATTAGTACTTACTAGAGTTTTGGAACACAGCTGACAATTCTTGAATATAATGTAAGTGGTATTGGCGAGTAGCTCTAACAGAAACTAAGCGTTGAAGGTCTGAAGTAACACTAGTTCGTCACCTTTAAGTTGGAAAAATTTGGAAAGTTCTCAATTTCACGTCGATTACCTGAGATATCTGGTACGTACAAAACTCTTGTTATCAAGTAGTAGTATGTACATACACATTCCAGTCATACATCATAACTGTAATCGATGAACAACGAAAAAAGATCATCTTTGTTCAAACCATAGTTGATAGGAGTTAAATAAAGACATTTCCATTTAAAAGTTTACCATATACTGTGTTAGACAACAAAACTTCACGAGTAATTACAATGTATAAAGAGAGGATAATAAAACCCTGGCACAGTGAAATATTATGACATTGTCAAGAAATGAGCCACTCTCTTGAAGTTCAAAAAAGTAGACTCCAAATACGTTAGAAAATCTTTTCTACCAATGGTACATTGCTAATAAATGCAACTTAGAATAAGCTTAATTTATGATTAAATTGAATCACAAAGCCGAATCTTCATAGTAGTACAATGAACGGAAAAAACTTCTCTACTATGACTAGACGGTTGAGAGATACGTAAAATGTATCAAGCTAGCCAACGGATATGGGTAGAAATCAGACAACATTAGAACTTTTGTATCAAGTCATGTCGATCAGGCAATTTCAACGGACCTTGAGTGTTGCACCATACTAGTGATAAGAGATTTTAAAAAATCCAATTCCCGGACTACGGATGGGGCATTATATTATTTAAAAGAGCTCGCTGTAACCGAGGCATATATTTTATTACGGTTAAACCACCACTATACCCAAAAAGCTTACTTATTTACCCTTATAACTCCTACACTGAGTATAATTCTACAAGTTTAATACGCCGGCTTAATTCATTTCTGCTCTTACATTTTTACTAGCTATCGGTTGGTGTTGGTATTATGAATCTCTATTTCCGGTCGTCGTGCTGATGAGAAGTGTGGGGACATATTATTACGTATTAATTTTCTTAAAAAACTAGTCTAGGAATTCTTATCAATAACCTACTGATTTCGAATGAACTTAGATTGAGATGGGTTTTTGCTGAGTAGCTAATATGGTATAGTACAAATTCATGTACTCCACTTATACTGCAGTAGTAATGTCACGACTTAATTGAGGAAGCACTAGTTGTGGTGCAAGTTATCTATTGGATCCAAATATTATTCTTTGGAAGTTTAATTTTTTCACCTGTGTGGGAATGAAATTTTAGATCACCCTTTTTAAAAAAAATCACCTTGATAAGTTTGTTTAGGCCTTCATCGGCAGCTATACGGACGTCAGAATTCGAATCATTGAGAAATCTAAAAAGAGATGACAGTACAACATTCAAATGGCGAAGTGCAATAGATGAATCTCGTGTCTGTACTCGCAATAGACCTTCTACAAGATTGTGTATAATACGAAGAGAATCGGGTCGTTCAAACACAGGAAATGAGTTCGATGACAAACTTAATGCAGTTTCTATTGATGCATTGTTTAAAATAGATCTTGCATCAGCAGATCTATTTATTTCATCCAACTTGTGCGATACTCCAACAGCTTGGAGCGCTGATATTAAATCTGATTCTGTTACCGACCCGGAACCCATTTTATGTAGAATCCTGAAAGAAAACAGAGATGGTTTTAAAAAGACGTACATGAAATTAACAAGATCTAAACTGCATGAGTCTACATCACAATTGAATATAAACACGCACCCTTAAAATTGCTAAACACATATAGATCGTACTTCAAAAGAATTATGTAAGGTAGTGGATTGTAAGTTTCAGTCCATTTAGTGTCTGAATCATAGGTTGATTTCATGTTGATATCATAGACGTTACCATATCATGCCACTATAATACAGAAATCAATTCCAAATTCTTTGATGATGTACATATAAATATTGAAATATAAACATATAGGCCATCATTGATAGTTTGCTACAAAAAACTTGTTGGTGGGACTATAATTTATGAACGAGCCAATCAGATAAAAGATAGCAGGTTTTAGATTTCGGTGCGAACTTCACTCACCTATCTGGTTAAATAGCATCCTGTCGTTTTAGCTGATGTCCATTCGTGATGAAAGCTCTAAATTTAGTTCCTAATCCTAACCACTAACTGTAAGCCATAATTCTAATTACTCACACTGCTCTATAACCTTCATTTAGTCCTAGTTAAAAGGTGAACATTCTCAGGGTCACTTTGGCGTCGCTCAAAGGTCGTCCATAAATTATAGTCTCATCGATTTGTTAACAATATCAAGATTACACAATTGACAATAATTTAATATTTAATTGCATCTGTTTTGCCACTAGTGATTGATACGAATTTCGCATTTTCTTATGTTCTTACTAAATTGAGGATTGACCATCTCTTCATTTTACAAACGACCCAAACGGCCATCGACACTGCTCACTACCAATATGACTGTGTTTGGACTTAAAATATTTTTACTTTACTTTGAAATACGGCTTTCTTTGAGTGTTTAACAGCTTTCTCTACATTACAAACATCATGCAACCACAATTGATGATTCGCAAATTCTGGGTATAAAACTGTTTTAGAACATGCTTTAAGACTACTGAATTCTGCACTGATTTCCTTGTGCTGGTTGATAACCGACTGATTTAAGCAAGCTCCTTTAAAAAAACCTACTGAGTTTATGGAAAGATGCATTACTACATCCCGTGTAAATTATCACGATTTTATTAGAGCATATTACAAAGCACTATGAGCAAACCCTGAAGCAGGAACCTATCAACACGTTTTCCATTGAGTGAAAGTAACTTGATGATTATTTATAAGTAATACGTATATGTATACGCTTAGATGGTTAACCTTATTTACAAGTCATCCCTTATCAAGAGATAGTAACAAACTAAAAAGAATGAAGAGATACGTCTGAGTAAACAGCTAAATTACTGTCAAACCCAAAAACACAGCGACCTCAAAAGAAAAGGGACTTTGAGCGAAGCGCCACCACAAATCCCTGAGTCTTAATGCAAAAAAAGTGTTCCAGTGTACAATAAACCACATTTCCGAAACATTGATCTATATAAGTAAGTAAATTCATAAGATAAATATTCGCACTCAAATTCAACATTCGACACATTTTTTGTCTTGTTATCCATTTCGACTATTTTTTTACGATTTTAGTCCGGTAATGGTCTCCGATCGAAGAAACACCTAATTCAGAATTTCACAAATCTGGGGAAATTTTGAGGGTTTTGTGCCATTTCTTCAAAATTTCTCCAAAATCAGGAGCTTGGGGAAGCTTTGATGAAGACCTACTAATTCGCTGAAAGTTCATAGTTGTCTGATGATGATTGACCTTCGACATTCCGTAACGGCGAACAGCTCGTTTTTTAGCCTGCGAGCTAGTTCCAACTGTTTATCTGTTTATGATTACAGTGACACGGTTTAAATGCTGGATTTAGATGTTAACTCTGTGATCAGACAATCGTCAGCATATGGATACAGGAATAGATATCTAATAACGTGCTAAAGGTTCAGTTTCTCACCTATGTTCGCCTCGGCTAATAAATAACCTGTTTTGTCGGAATGGATTCATGCTATACGATGGAAATTGAGATATCTGTGGTAGCAAAGCTTGTGTTAACCGATTTCACGACAAACATGCTGTTTTTGTATGCTGTGATTTGTGTTCTGTTAGCCACCTGTGTACTAAACACTGATTTCCTTAGGACAGATATATTGTGCAGTTTGGCCATAAACCGTATGTTTTGTCGTTTTCTTCTCTTAAGGTTCGAAGAGACATCCGACAGGTAAAATTATGTCCGCTCTTCAGGTATACCAAGAGATTTGGATAGCCTGACCCTCATTTATAGGTGAACTGGGATAGAAAGTCGTTAGATATTATGAATTCGATATGTAAATGACGCAATATGACATAAGTTAGGCAGTTAGTAAAACTCCAGCTCAATCAATGTGTCACAGGAGAAGTGAAGATATTTGACTGATTAAAACTTTTGTACTGAATATTATTAATTTCAATGTGTTTTTTCACGTACTCGCTCTACTCAACTTGTTTGTTTATATCAGTATATTTGGACATTTTAGTTTCTCTTTGTCTTCGGTTTGGTATTTGAAAGCTTTTGCTCCGTGAACCTGCACAATTGAAGAACGACATTTCGGTCGACTATTTGTAAATTGCGAATAATCTTTGGTACCTAAATTGGAGCTTAGTTCTATTGTTAATTTGGGTTCGTAAGTTGTAAATAGATCGATATGCCGTACTTTGGTAACGTAAGCAAGTAAAAATTTGAACATAACATGAAGTTCTTCAATTATTGATTCTGTATTCTTCATACTTTAGGTTTGTTTGGACTCTCACTTTGAGCCGAATGTTCTAGTTCTATTTGTTGACGTGATGACATTATTGTTAATCATATGTGTTCTGATCAGCTCAGTACTTCTAGACTAAAGTTAGATATGGCATTAATAAAGAAGAAGAACTTCGAGGAGTGACTTGGGTTAGAAAGGTAGCTTAAGATGTTAGATCTTCAAAATGAGGTTGATATGGCTGAATCAGAATGTAAGGTCATGGAGAAGGATAACCAGCTACCCGTAGAAAAGGGTGATGTAAATGCTAAGGTTGTGAGGTATTTTGATTGTGATACTGGCTTTAATAATCATTCAAGAGATATATTTGTCATTTCAATAGGCGATTGAGTTGATAAGTTGAAGGATACGTTACATACTATGTTTAATAATATGGTTTTAGCTAAGACTGGTATGATATATTTTGATGGACAACCGGGTCAGTACCACCATTTCGTTAGTCAGTTTATTAGCATTATCGAAAATAAACGGTTCGATAAGGGCCAAATGTCGTATCTGTTATATTACTGTAAAGGAAAGGCCAGGACGGCTAATGAAGTTTGTATTTCTTTTCCCAGTCATTTGAGTTATAATAAAGCTAGACAAATTTTATATGATCTATTTGGTACAGAACACCTTGTTGCTCGCCAACTAATTACTGAGTTACTCAACCATAAGTCTGTTGAAGGATCAGCCGATAGCTTAACTGACTTCTCTATGTGGTGTATGTCTGACTTGAATTCTATGACTTGTTTGGAGATAAAATGTCACGTTTACCACTAGAATTACAGAATAAGTGGGTGAAAGTTGCCGATACGATCATGATGGTCGGGAAGGAGCCGAGCTCTGAAGGACTTGTAAACTTTGCAGAGGAAAGGTCTAGGATTGCTCAGAAGCGTTGAGATAAATTGGAACAGTGCAACTCAAAGTTCGGTAAAGGGAATTATGAAGGCCAGGTTGGAAGCGGTAACGCTTTAATGTAATTAAGCTTGACCCAAACAACTCAGTCAAGGTGTCAAGTTGCAAAATTTGCTTAGGTGATCATGAAGAGATAGATTGTAAACGTAAGATACAAATTAAGGTTTGGGCTGAAGAATAGCTGTCTAGGTGGGTTGGATATGCGCCCTTGCCCTGTTGAAACCAAAACAAAGTGATTGGGTAAAATGACGGTTCTAATATTCATCATTAATTTGAATGAACTTTGTTACCTAAACAAATATGACCAACCAATAATTGTTCAATTATTCAAATCTAAATTACAATTAATAAGGAAGTTGATAAAAGATTCAAGAAGATTACCAATCAAAACAAATAAATTTTAATCTATCCTGTCTGGATAGATCACTCACAGAGTCGTTCAAAAGTTAATATTTAGTTGCTTCATAACACAGTGTTTTCAATTCTGGAAGAATGCCTCAATTCACAATCAAAAAATGAACAACTCCAGTCAATACAAGCAACACAATCAAAGGGAGGAACAAACCAATATGGCTACCGCCAAGACCAAGTATCAAGTAAAACAACATAAATGCAGTTCAGGAAGAAACACAAAAACTTAGTGAAAGCGTAAGAAAGATAAAAACTATAATAAAATACAAATATTACCAACTCAAATGGAATCGAAAAGACTAACAAAATGTACAACTAAATGAATTAACAGGAACAAACTGCAAGTGTATACATGGAGGGATTTTCACACACAAAACATTCAAAGTAGATCTTACATGCAAAGTTATCAAAAATGAATGTCAGAGAAGGAAGACCGGAGGTGAGATGCGACTGTGTTACCTGTGTTTAAGGAAGGGTTACATAGCGAGGTCGGGCAACTCGGGCTTCAAGTGTGACATTGAGAATCGTAAGATTCAACATTATTCATTGTTGCATGTTGATGATATTAAAGATGCCACAAGTATTTGGAGTTTGAAAACGCTTTAACCAGTAACACATTATACTATGAATCGTGACAACCTAGTGAAACTAAAGGTCAGAAGTGAGAAGGTTAGAAGATATATTTCATGGGCTATCAATATATCGAGAACCGACTAACCTAAACTGACTAGCGATTAGAAGTGAAGTTGGGCGAGGCGTTCCCACTTATGATCTGGTAGGGATGCACGACCGAGCGCATTCAGCTGGATGAATCCATTAACTATAATGTGGTCAGCACCAAATGTCGGAAACTTTCAGAGTTATTGACTTTGAGGATTTCTTTACCTCCACAATATTAATAACAGTGTTTTGAACCTAACCACATAACTCTCAATGCTGAACACGAGACAACAGTATAAATAGATGTTCAACATTTAACGCGAGGAAAAAAACAGAAGTGGATGCGATTAAATGAATAATCGGATGACGTGGCGCAGCCTTGCAGGCGTGATCACTCTTCAGCGTTGTCTTATATCTTTCACTCATATCAAATATATTGTTCTATCTCTAGACTAAGTTTGTTCTCCATCATATATTGTTGGTTGTTACGATGCGATGAGTTGGTGTAGACAATGATGTGACTTCCACGTAACATCTTATAGATTAGGCAGTTACATCATGACAAATCTACACTTTTAGGAATAAGTCTATTATTAAAGTAGTACTAAAATCTAAGTAGACCATAATTCTACAAACTTAACTAAAGATTAGAATTGTCTGAAGGTTTGTTTGGGTATAATTTAGGTCAGACTGTACGGTCTCAAGGAGAGTTTGGAAACATAAGCCCTTCAAGGTAGTCTTTCGGATACTTCCGTCGTATTCGAAGAGTAAATTACTCTATCGGGTAAAGAGGCTTCAATGACAAAAATGAACGTGAATGCAACAATTACCTGAAATGTCAGAAAGCATGCTCAAAATTAATTTTCGATAAAAAAGATTTGTAAGTAACGAAAAGCCACATATGACAAAGATGTATAAGTTGGGAAACGTAAAATAATTAACGCAAAATGGTAAGGGATGATGAAAAAAAATAAAAGTTGAATACATACGGACTACGTACAGAAATATATTAGGGGTATCGAAAAAGAGAAACAATACAGAAGCACATAGGTGCAAGTAAAAAATAAAAGAGAAGCGAACAAATCGTATGCCAAAAAAACATAGCTCCGTCCAAAGATTAAATCCCGGCATGGCCCATAAATCTCTAATAAACACAAGTCCATTCAACACCTTCACACACATACACACTTGTGCACACACACACACACACCACTCACTCACTCAATCATTCACTCACTCACTCCTCGCTCACTCTGCTCGCCCTCCACCATCGCCACCACCAACAACAACACAACCACCACCACCACCACCACCACAACCACCATCAATATGCAATACTGTATTCCATCGACTGGTCGATCAGCACTCAGACAACTCTCTGCTCACTAATCACATGACAGAATCAATCTGGAGTCCAGACATAGCACACATTCTCCTAACTGATGGCCTATTTGAACACAGTTGTGATAGACAGTTGCCTGTGAAATACCACCACACAAGTGTTACTGCTGCATTACACAGTCGGAGAAATAACTCTTCTGGCTTATATTTGCAGTGTGTTTCGAGATTCAGAGTTGCGATTGCGAGTTCCATTTCACAAGTTATGTGGACTGAACACACATTGCATTGATATGTTATGAAGACCAA